TTCAGTCTGATGCACTTTTCTTTCGTTCTTTATGCCGGCTTTCCCCGTCTGTCTTCTGACCGGAGGATCTTTCATCTTTATGTAAGCACTTCTTTTACGCTGCTTTGCCTTGCTTCTCTCTAGAGAATGAGTATGGGACCGGTAGTCCGGTTCGTTGTCGGCTGACCACCGGGAATACCAATACTAGAAAGAGAGAGCACAGCACGGTTATTAATTGTGTTTGGATACCAGCTAGGCTTGACAGACCTGTGTGCGGACGACCAGCGACCTTTGTTTCAGCATCATCCTACCAATTCATCTTCCTATCTTCCTTCCTCTGAACTCGATCGACGAAGTGAGAGAAGGCGAGATCTACCTACCCTAGCCTTGAGGATACAGAGCACATTCCCTTTCTTCCGAAGAGTTCTCATCGTTAGGTGAGAGGTGAAAGTCGGGTATTCATTTAGTTGACTAAAGGCTCTCTTCTGTATTGTATGAATCAGGTGGTGTCTATGATCGATCTCCTTATGCTTTCCTCGTCGAGACAAAGCCTCCTTCTTCTATTGCCTTGGCTGATCGATCCGTATCGGGCTTATCTGATGGAAGACCAGAACATCCACCTACTTACGGTCCGCCCCTCACTTATCTCTTCCTTAGATTAACCGAATCCGCTAATGTGTCCAATGGAAGGGAGGCTACAGGTGTAGCTTCAAGGTGTAGGGTAGAAGTCAGGCTATACACTAGGATGGCAGTCCCAACTGAGATGAGTACTTTGCTGGAATGGCAGCCCCAACTGCCTAGCTCAAGGAACAGCACGACCTCTATACCCCCGGAGGAGACTCCGATGAAGATGGTGGAGGAGCGGAAGGCTGATAGGTGTGCTAACGTAGTAATTGAAGAAGTCGGGTTCCTAACCAACGTTGAAGGAAGATCCCTAACAACTCAAATAGGGCAGTAAGGATAAGAGAGAGTCTTCTTCGATGCAACTTCATAGGTTCGGATACTGCTTTTGAGTTACCTCTGGATGCGCTTGTTCAACTCGTTTAGCTGATTGAGCAGAGTAAGGGGGAATGGGATAGGAGCCCCGGGCACCCAAACAAGAGAGAGATCTCGTCCTGCTATTGAGAGAAAGTAACTTATTTGCCCTCGAGGGGCTACTTCGGTTGCTATGCGGTATCTCGCTCCATCTGCCCTCTTGACTTATGCTTGATCTCTTGCCGATTCCTTCCTGTCTGGGGTCGTCCAAATGATACGATCCGCTTCTCGCTTGCTAGAAGTAAGGACCATAGTATCGCTAGAGAGACCAAAGTCAAGAGATTCCGTAGACTCGAACTCTTATGCTGCTGTTTGCTCGCTCTTTCTTTAGCATTAGTTAGCATTACCCGCCCTTCCTGACGGAGCTCTCCTACCCTTCTCTCTGCAGGAAGAATCATTCATCCAAAGCACAAAAAAGTGTGTGTGCTAGAATAGTGAGAGGACCATTCGTTGAGCTGCTAATCTTCTAAATCGGATGCCTGTGCTGTATCCTCAACCGATGACTAGGCAAGCAGACAGTCTTCCCTCGAATGCTCCTTTTTATTACTTTTTCCGGTATAGCGGACTACCTTTTTCAATTCTTAAGTGCTCCTTATAAAAAGAGGTCGACTACTTTCCTGGGGCAGCTTTTTTCAACTTTGATCTGCTTCTACGGGCTAAAAGGGGCCTACTTTTGCCGCTAGGGGAGATCAACTTTTTTATTTTTATCTGCTTTTATGGCCTAAAGTTGATGACTTTTCGCTGGAGATGCGAGACTATTTTATTCTTCATTTTCTGTTTTGACTGCTCCACAAGGGTTGCGTTGGATTGCTTCGCTAGGAGTCAACCCAGGAGATGAGAGAAAAGCAGAGAGCCCACCTAACTGCACCGGGATTGGCTAATCAGTATACCCCTTATCAGATGCTTCTGAGCTGCGTTTAATCGATGTGAGCACACTGCTGACTGGGTTCTCATTTAACAAAGGAACTCAACTCCAGACTCTGAAAGGTCAGAGGGGTCATAGATGACACATAAATAGGAGATCTAGCATCCGTGGCATCCATCCGAACTACTCCTAAAAGTAGGCATTGTCCAGTAGTGCCTTAGGCTTTTCAGTTGCTTAGTCGTTTCGAGGGCGGGTAAGGTGATAGGACTTGCTTCGTCTGGCTTCTTCATAGGAGTCAGGCTTCTCAAGATCAACAGACTCAATGCCAGCCAAGGAAGGAGTAGGAAAAGATGACCGAAAGAAACAGAAGCCTAGGATATGAAGTTATCATCTAAATACCTCGCTGGAGGTTTTTCTTCTGACTCTATCTCTTGCCAGCTCATATCCTTCCAAATTCTAAGTCTCTTGACTTTCTGTATGTTTTCCTGAAGTGAGTTCTCTTCTTCTTCAGAGCTACTTTCACTCTCTGATGAGCTTGATTCAGAGTCATTAGCTGCTGGCTCAGCTCCTCCTTGAGCTAAACCTCCTGGTGTAGGACCTTGAATAAGACTCGGACTGAAATCTCTTACTCTTTTTCTTCTCCTTTTTCTTCAGATAGTTCCGCTACTATAGCCTTTGTGGGAAGAGCAGCACTTATATTGCTTGGATTATCTGGAAGGGAAGGTAGCGAAGCGTGTCGTTCGTAATGGAAAGAAAGAGACCACTACTTCGCCTCTTTGTTGGACCGCCGGCGCGAACACAGTGGTCTCTGATCAGGACCAGGAACCAATTCGAATTTGGATCTTGACATGTTGGTGGTTTTTAACCGTAGGCATCTTGCCAGGAAGTTGGTGGGCTTATCATGAATTAGGTCGGGGTGGCTGGTGGTTTCGGGATCCCGTAGAAAATGCTTCTTTTATGCCTCGGGTATTAGCCACAGCTCGTATTCATTCTGTAATTTTACCCCTTCTTCATTCTTGGACCTCGTTTCTTAATATTGTGACTTTTCCATGCTGTGTCTCAGGAACCTTTTCAATACGGTCCGGATTGCTAGCTCCCGTTCATAGTTTTGCTACAGATGATACACGAGGAATCTTTTTATGGTGGTTCTTCCTTCTAATGACCGGCATATCTATGATTCTTTTCTACCAGATGAAGCAGCAGGCATCGGTCCGTAGAACGTATAAAAAAGAAATGGTTGTGGCGCGAAGTACTCTTGTGCATCTACGTCACTCGGCTCGCGCGCAACCCCGCCCCGTTATGTTATGGAAGAATTGAACTTCTTGCTGGGCTGGTTATTCAGAGCCAGCAATTGGCTGCCGGATTTCGTCCTGCAATGAGGCAGATCGCTTCGGGGGGTCACTGTGGCGTGGCTGAATGTAGAGCAGTCCGCCCCTACAGCGTTTGATCAGTAGATTATTTAGAACTTCGGAAGATGGTCAAGGTACGAAGTGACAAGCCACTGCGCTAGATGCGCATGTGGTCGTAGTAGTCGGCTCGTCGCTACTTTTATCCAAAGAATAAGGCCTATGAGCTCTCTGTTTGGAGACAGAACAACGTGAGAAGTTCTGAGTCGTATGAAAACTAGCGGTTTGGGGGAAATAGCGATTTATCAATAACATAGAATAAACAAGCTTGCTTGGCAGACTGGAAGATAAAGGCAAGCAGCAACATAGAGTACCTTGACCTGCTCGCTGGGGACATAAGGATTGACATGTGCCGAGACAGCTGTCCCGCGGATTAAGGAATCCGCAAAGGCTAATGCCATAAGACGAGCAAGACTAAAGAAAAAGAAGATCGGTCCTCGTCCACTCGGAAAGCTTTTTCTCATCATAGGGGGACGGAGACGGTTAGTCAGCATTCCACTACCAACGAGCAGCAAACTCCTTGCGACTCTAATTGAGAAAAACCCAACAACGGCCACCCTCCCTAGGTGTAAGATAATAGGGCTTGATGCCTAGCGGCTTCCTTTTACGAGTTGTCTACCGATCTCACAGGTTTACACCTTTTAGGAATGAATGCTCCACGAGTCGTGATGCTTTGATTGTCGTCTTTCGAATTAAGGATTTGTCTGACTAATAAACATCATCCTTCAGTCCGCGCCGGCATTCCAGAACGAATTCTTATCGCTTAGCACAAGCGCTAACCCTGACAAGGCCCTACATCGCATATGCAGTTGGAGTGGTTAGTCGATTCATGCAAAATCCAAAGAAACCTCACTTTCGACGAATATTGAGGTACATGAAAGGAGTTCCTCCTTGACTATGGTCTTCTGTATAAGAAAGGAGAACAGTGTAAGATAGTTGGCTATTGTGACGCCGACTATGCTGGTGATCACGACACGCGTCGATCAACAACTGGAAACGTGTTCAGGCTTGGTTTAGGAGCAGTTTGTCTTTGAAAAGTAAGCGGTGTTTTAGCCGTAACCCTTGTTGGAAGAGAATACCACGTAGGAGTGAAAACTCCCCTGCTCATCCATCTTTATTCCAAAGGCGAACATTTCAATTGAGTGACTGTAACTGCTATCTATGGTTTACAGTCAGTAGTTCTTAACCAACCGCCCAGCTTTATAAAGCTTTAAGAGGGAATAGGGAGTAAGGGGGACCTTCGCTTCATTATCAAATTGACCTGGACCCTCTTTCTTCTCCTGCTGCAGATTTTGCCCCGCGCGGATTCTGGAGATTCTTCTTTAGTCTAGGATTTCAAATAATAATCAAATCAAAAGAAGCGGCTGGGCGAGAACAAGAAGCGGTCGTCGTACGCCGGCCGGTAGCTCTACTAAGCGAAGAACCGGGTTCCTCCCTTTTCTTCGCGAATAACATGTGGAGTGGAGGTAGCCTAGGCGTTCCTCGAGCAAGCTACCTTCGCCTACCTCCCATCTAGAAGCGGCAATGGTAAGAGCTGGTAAGCATAGTAACTGTATCGGCTAAGGGGCCGGCGCTCCGCGTTCTATCTAGGTTCCGCTCTGACCTTCCCCACCTCACATAGAAGAAGGGGAAGCCCTTCAATAGAAGAACCCGTGTGAGTGGGAAGGGATTGAATCATTCATTCATCGGATACGTCTTTTCCCGTGATCCATTTCATGTCAACTCTAATTAGTTATCAAAAGGCCTACCTTACAAAGGGAACGTCGTTTCCCGGGAACCTTGCAACCTTCCGGTTCCCGGGAAACGGCCGCATCGGCCCGCTTCGTCACCGTCGGTTCCCGCAACCAAGCCTTTTTCTTATTCTTTCTTTCAGAAGGGCTTGCGGTTCATTACACCAAAGGCTTTCAGTGAACTATTGAAGCTATCGAGAGAGTACCAAATGCTGACGGTGACGAAGGTTACCGACTTTCGGTGGACGCGGAGCCAACGAGTTCAGTCGAAGAGCGTAACGAGTCTAAGGTTACAGAAGCGTTCGCCAACTTTGATAGGTATAGCATTGCGAGCAAATAGAGCAGAGAGCTTACCCTTTCTTTCTATGAGAGTCGCGAGCTTGTTGTAGTCGGTCCTAAAGAACCTTGCTGCTTACTTGCTATATTCCCGCGTTCTTGCATGGCTCGCGCGCAACCCCGCCCTGCTTCTCCCTTCCCCCTCCCCCCTTACCGTCCAAAACTCAGAGGCCGTATGGAGTATAGCCAAGTGGTAAGGCACCGGTTTTTGGTACCGGCATGCAAAGGTTCGAATCCTTTTACTCCAGATTATGAACACCCGATCGGATCTGTCAAGAACGAGCTGACGACTACAGGGGAAGCTCTCATTAATTAGTTGATGAGGGGAAGCGGCTGACAGCAGTCCCTGAGCTAAGCCTTGGAAATCTTAATGCCATAATGCCTTTCAAATCCTCCTAGCCATTATCCTACTGCAATAATTCTTGCTAAGAAGAACGCCCACCCCTCTCTGTTTGATAACAGTTTCCTCCTAGTTTGCTTGAAACAGATAAGCTTGCCCAACTGCAACAAAGAAAGAGCCTAGCTTTCTTGGTTTGATGAGCTTATACTCGCTTTCTTGGTTTGATGAGCTATACACGCTTTCTTGGTTTGATGAGTGAGTAACAACTTCTGAGTTGACTTGGAAGAAACCATTATGGATTGTTGTAGTTCCGTGCTAATTAACAGGTTCTTTGCCTTTATTTCAAACAGGTTTGGCGTTGCATTCATCTAGGCTGTAGCCTCTCATACGACAAGAAGTATTTAGATCGGGGGATTTTCGTAAATGATTCGTTGCCAGCGCCCAAACTTTCCAATCCCCAGCCAAATACGATTGGGCATATCCTTCAAGAGATCAACCAATACGCATACTGCGCAACACTAGAGTGGTCGTAGATCAGCTAACTGGGGCGTCCATTGGTGGAACTCAGCCGGAACCTCAATACTGTGTAGTGCCCGAAGAATTACGTAGTAATTTTGTCTAGTTTAGTGATAGCAGTAGGTCGGTTCGCTGTGGCTCTAATGCCGGCGATGAAGCAAACAAATAGGGTGTGATAACATTCAGACCTATCTGAGACTAAGAGGGGCTACCAGAGGTATTCCTGTCAGCCTTGTAACATTAACCCAAAAACCAATCGTCACTGGTTTCATTCTTGTCGCTCTCTCTCCAGGAATCAAAACCTATGCCTTTCTCAGTCTGGTTAGGCTTTCCGGAAGGTTTTCCGGTGAGCTGTTATCAGATTGATTGGTATGGTAAGATGGATGTTAGTTAAGAGCTCCCGATTGGGGTTACGTAGAGAGACTGACTTATAGAGGATCTCTCTCGGCAGCTCGACGACGATGCCGAGGAACGCCTCAGCACGGAACTTTAATCAATCAAATGGCATTAGGGTAGGGGGCTTTCCTTTGTTAAAAATCCAAGAGAGATAGAGTTTGACTATCTTGTCAAACTATCACCCCGCATCTTCATTCTATGACGATGGATCTTGGGAATGATTCGGGGGATCCCGGACCGCGACAATGAAACACTGATATCGAGTTTCTGACCCTTTAGTGAAGCAGAATCACTCAGGAGCTCCCAGTTCCTATTCAACATTCATTCATAGTCTTTATTCTCCTCTTGCCATCCTTCACTGCTTTTCGGACTGCTTTTACTGCTGCTTCCTATGCTTCCTGCTTCTGACTACTTGCCTTTCCCTCCCTCGGAAATCAACTCCATATCAATTAATTTGACTCACGCTTCTTTTGCTTTTTAGAATCCTTCTCTGTGCGAGTTAGGACTAAGACCTTTTTTCTATGACTTCTCATTCTCAACGAAAACAATAAGACCAAGAATGAAAAGAAGAAGGTCTAACCCGTGTATCCATTTATAAATATAAAGACTCTCAAGCCCCAGTAAGCTTTCTAAAAAGAAAAAAAGAGCACCGAAGAAGATTGTAGTTAAGGCTTGGAGCTTCTGGGGAGTACAAACAAGTAAGTACTAGCTAGCCGCATTCCCAGCTACTTAGTACCCTTCTTTCACTTACAGCTATCTAAGACATTCAGGGGCGAAGTCACTCGACTGCAAGGAGAGGGGCTGTGTAACTGCTCTAAATAACACTACTCTCATCCCTCGCTTTTGTTCAATTATAAATCTAAATAAAAGAAAGAAGAACTTTAATGAAGATTTATAGCATCATTCAAGTAAATACAGATTAAGATCGTAAAAACATAAGCTTGTAATATAGCTACACCTAATTCCAGACCGGTTAATGCAAGAACTATAAATAAAGGACCAAGAGCCCCTATAAAATAGAAAATCTCATTCATACATAGCATAGTCCAAGCGAACCCACTTAAAATCTTTACTAAACTATGACCGGCCATCATATTAGCAAATAAACGTATTCCTAAGCTTAATGCGCGAAAACAATAAGAAATTAGCTCAAGGAGTACTAAAAAAGGTGCTAACGGCAGTGGGACTCCTGCGGGTAATAAAAAGCTGAAAAAATGAAGCCCATGTCTTTGAAATCCCACTATAGTAATGCCAATAAAAATAGAAAATGAGAGAGCCAAAGTAATGAGAAAATGACTTGTCACTGTGAAGCTATAAGGTATCATACCCTGAAGATTACAAAATAACAAAAAAAGAAAAGTGACCAAGATGCAAGGGAAAAACATTTGTTTCACATTTCCGGAAAGACCACCTATTTGTTCCTTTACCAGGTTCAGCACGAAATCATAAAGAAGCTCTACCAAGGATTGCCAAGCATTTGGGACTAAGTTTCCTCCTCCCTTTTTAGTAATAAAATGAATCAGAAGTAGGAAAAAACTCAGAGTTAGCAGCATGAACAAAGATGGATTTGTGAATGAGAAATAGAAGTTTCCGATATTCATAGGAATCAATGGGACAATCTCAAATTGGTCAAGTGGGGACTGCGCCACCAGCCCTATTTGATTCATAGCCTCCTTAAAGGCTGAACTTTGTACTCCGTTTTCGCTCAAATCATCCAAAATGTGCTGAAGAAAAGCGGTATTGTCACTTCCCGCTTCGGCCGCTTCAAAAACCTTGCGAGGTCGAGAACGACGGGGAGAGTGATGCAGAATGAAACCCTTACTTAGTGCGGAGATAGGATTTGAACCTACGACATCAAGGAGGAACCTAGCTTCTTCAGCGAAGCTGGAGGAACGGAGTTGGCTTCTCCCGTTGGTCAAGCAGGCTTCGCTCCTTGCGAGCTACCAAGCTGCTCTACTCTACTCGCACTGCTTCTTTCCTCTCCAATATCTGATTTTCTTAGTCTCGTTCTCGTCTCTATCTCTTAGGTCAAGCATCTTCGGGAATACCCGTCCCCGNGGAGGAACCTAGCTTCTTCAGCGAAGCTGGAGGAACGGAGTTGGCTTCTCCCGTTGGTCAAGCAGGCTTCGCTCCTTGCGAGCTACCAAGCTGCTCTACTCTACTCGCACTGCTTCTTTCCTCTCCAATATCTGATTTTCTTAGTCTCGTTCTCGTCTCTATCTCTTAGGTCAAGCATCTTCGGGAATACCCGTCCCCGTCTTAGTCGAATACCTTTTCATTCCTTCCGCAAGTTCGTATCTTAGAAGAATCATCCCTTGTCTTTCGCCCGCGGGCGAGCTTCTGCTTTCTATTCTTACTCTCTCAGCAGCAAGACCATAGAATAGGAGAACCACTAGATCCGCTGCAATCCCAGTTGCCAGTTGACTCAACAAAGAATCGACTTTGTTTGCTTTGGTGCTTTCTTTTATGCCGGATATTACCACCAAAGCGGATATCGTGATCTTGGATCTAGGTACTTGACTTCCCCCTCTTCCTATGTATGGGGAGAGTAGCCTAGCCCATCCCCTCAGACCAGACTGAGCTTCATTGCCAATCCTTTGAGCCGCTTCGCTCCTTGGGATGCCTTACCGCTCCGTGGGGGAATCTCGAAGATCGAAGATTAGTATGAAACTAGAGCCATCTCCTTTTTGCAGGGGAATCTCCTTCGGTTGATTATCTGGTTTCGGAAGATGCATTTCAAAACCTTTTTCTCTCGTACCCATTTGCCTAAACTCCGGTGATCTAGCTTTGGCTTATGCCATTACCGCTAAACCCAATTCTTCTCTTCATGTATGTGGGCTGCCTTGATATTAAGTAAGGTGTCAAGGCGGTCGAAGAAGGCCACAAGTGGAAGCAACCGATGCTTTGGTCATTCAGTTTCATCCTTGCTGCCAGTCCGTGCTTGCTGTCATGCTGGAAAAAGCAGGGGTTTCGGCCGGTTTTACCTACTATTGGATTTGAACCAATGACTCTCGCCGTATGAAAGCGATACTCTAACCGCTGAGTCAAGTAGGTCAAGCTGAGTCAAGTCAGAGAAAATAGACCCCTATAAGAGAAAGCCGCGCAACCAGAGTTCCCCTTACTATACAAGGGTGCGGAGCGCTAAGAAAGAGAAAGCGTTCTCACTATACGAAAACGAAATGAAGCAGCGGCTAGCACGCTAAGATTAAGCACTTGGAGAACGTGGAGCCTTTCTTTTCTTTCTTGGTCGTCTGTCTTAATATAAGTAGATTCCGATTAATACGGTCGTTCTCTGCTGCATTGGTGTTTTCACTCCCCACCATAACAAAATGTTTCTGAAATTGGTTTAGGACAAATTTCAGTGCTTAGCCCTAATTAGGGCATCAGATGTCTATTTATATAGATGATCTCTTCAAGTCAAATTACAATTAAGCCCTTGGGCTAATACATACGACACAATTAACAGTATAACCTAGATACACTAAGACTCCCCCTCAATCGGAGCAAGGTGGAAGGATGCGAAGATTGGAGCGAAGGTAGTGAAATTGGGCAGAGGGGAGGCCCTTCGTGAAGATATCAGCAAGTTGCTCGGATGTGGGAATATATTGCACAATAATGTCACCTTTGACAACCTTTTCCCGTACAAAATGGTAGTCAATTTCAATATGTTTCGAGCGAGCATGATGAACAGGATTGGCAGTCATATAAGTTTTCTGATGTTATCACAATAGATCTGAACAGGGTGAGGAAGAAAGAGACAAAGCTCGCGAAGTAGCTGAGTAATCCAGTGAGACTCAGCAACAGCAAAGGCAAGCGAGCGGTATTCAGACTCAGCACTAGAACGAGAGACTGTAGGTTCTTTCTTGGCGCGCCATGAAATAAGATTGGGACCAAGAAAAATAGCATAGCCAGAGGTAGAGCGCCGAGTGTCAGGACAACCTGCCCAATCTGCGTCAACAAAAGAAAGTAGACCCCGCTAAGGCGTTCCTCGGAGGAACTCGTCCAAGCACATGTCTCCTTTATCTGTTTTCAGCCAGCCTAAGCGCCCTACTTTACCTACTTTAAATGTAAATCTTCCTTTTCATCAAAGCCTTCGTGTTCATCGAATACTCGCTTCACTATGTGTAGCTCGCTCCCCTCTCTTGAAAGCCGAACTGGCGCCTTCTTTTGATAACTGGGTTAGGGTTACCGAAGGCAATCTGGCAGGCAAAGTTTCCCCTTTTATTCGGCAGCCGCCTTTGATGTAACTAAACTAGATAGAGTTTGGGTCACGAATTCGGATTTACCGATCCGAGGGAACCAAATGAAGCATCTTTTTCTCCTTCCGAAAGAAAAGAGGAAGACTTATTCCCACCGAAGTGCACTAATAGAAAACCCCTACCAGTCGAAGTGGAATGATGAGCTAAAAGTCCCTTGTACGATGAAGCTGAGTCACAGAAGCGGGAGAGGTGTCTTCTTTGAGGATCGTTTCCTATCGAGTGGATCAAATCCCAAGCCTTAAGAGCCCATTAATCCATCTTCTGTTCCGCTAGCCAGCTAAGCTAAAGCTTGCCATCGACCGGTTCGTTCGGAAGTAACCGCATGCGCTCACCTATCCATCAACCAAGACAGAAGGGAATGACCAACCAAGCGAGCAGAGCCCAACTACCAATCCTATGTTCTCCCAATCCTGGAACTGGCGGCAATCTAACGAATTCGGGAAAGCAAGATGATCGACACTGGAAAAGACGTCTTGGCGAGAGGTGCTTTAGCAACTCGACTGAAAAGCAGAGGGCATAGAGTCACCGACTAAAGCAAGCCAGGAAAGGTAATTGCTTACAGACAGACCATATTTTTGAATAGCAGCTTACTCTCAAACACCGTATTCCGCCAAAACCATTTACTACGCAAACAAGACCGGCAACTGGTTGAGCTGATAGGACCACAGCTGAGATTGACTCAAGAGCGTCTGTGGCTAAAAGACTAGCAGCATATTCTTCTTCAATTGCGACAGGAGCTCATTCTTTCGCAGCTGCTTATTCGTCGTTTGGGCAAATGGATGTGGGATGGAGCTTGAACTAAGGGACCTGGGGCGTAGCCTTGATTCAAAGTGTCTAGGTACCAAGAGTAAAGGAAGGAGGGCTAACTAATATAATAGGGGTAGGGGGGCGCTAACGAGCAAGAAAAGGCCCCTTTATTAGTAAGGTTGCTTGCTTGTCACACAGGTCGTCTTTGGCTCGTCTCCTTCCGCGATACGCACCTGGTAGTATCCCGCCGTAGATCCAACTTCGAGAAGTATCTCGCGCGGGCGAAGAAGTCTGCAATAAAAGTGGATACTTGTTTTTGATAGTTAGGTTACCTTGTTGAGCGCCCGATAATCAATGCACAAGGCTCCCGCTTTTTCTGGAAAGGGGCTCCCCAACCTTTTCCCAGCAGCAATCAATATAGGGAAAAACTGCCTTGGAGGCTGGAATCAAAATAGGCCTCCATGAGTTCCTGAAATTGATTCCTGAGTTCAACCAATCCCCTTAACTAATAGATGCTAGTTGGGGGGCCATCCGCTTAACCCAGCCCCAGTCTAAATAGTTGGGGGTTTGGCTCCAGGCTCCAACTCGATCTTGTGGTAGACTGCCCTACTAGGGCGCACTTGGCAACTAATTCGTGGGGCATGATATCCCAAAATTCCTCAAGTACTTGCTGCACTTCCTGAGAAAGAAGTAGTCTTGGTATTGGATCCGCTCTTCTGAGAGCATGAACATCAATTAGATTCAATTCCTCTTCTTTATTCTTAAGAGAAACCCCCCCCCCGAACCATTCTTAAGACCACCAAGCTCTCTCGAATGAATTCTACTCTTTCTGCTTTCGAGATAGAAGAGTAGGCAAATTGATTACCCACTAAGGTGTAAAACTTTGTGACTAGATCGTCCTGAAAACGGATGCGACGGGAAGAAGTGGCATTTGTAAGTGTTGCTGACTTAACATTTAGGTTTCGGCATAACAAAGCTTGCACTGTCTTTTCGCACTTAGGCGCACAGCGTGCCATTGGTAATGATTCTACTACGGTGCCACAAATTCGCAAGCTGATCCTAAGTAATCGTTGTTGTTCATTGGATTCCGGAGGAACTACTTCGTTAGGATTGGGGAATTGCTGCGATTCTTCCTGAATAGCCTGGATTCTCCCGTCGAGAGTCGCTTTGAAAGTCGTACCTAAACTCTTACGACTGAATATGATAAAGCCTATAAAACAAAGAGCTACTATCATTTCTTCATTATAGATTGAGATCTTCTTCGAACTTAATGCACAAATAGATAGAATAGCAGCAAATAACATCTTTCTAGCATCCATATTCGTCGAACTCAATCTCATTTAGAAAGCTTATCCTCATTTCTTTTTCAGCAACTGAACGGGAAGTGGTTTAGGAAAGGACTTTTGAATCGGATGCGCTCGCCCAGCGAGAAAGGCCCTGACCCTGCCGACCAAGAAAAAAAAGAGAACGAAAGGCGTTCCTCGAACTTCGTATTTTCCTAATTTGAGAAGAGGTACAAAGTGACTCGACTGTAAGGTCCACCAGGAGAAGTCTCGACTGAAAGGAGAGGAATGGTTAACCTTGAATGCTATTAATAAATTCTACAGCAATAGTCCCTCGGACTCGGAAAGTTATAACGAAAATGGCTAACCCAATAGCGGATTCCGCAGCTGCCACCGTTGGAACCAATGAAGCAAATACTTGACCCATCATATCATCCGAAGAAACGGAAAATACCAAAAAGTTCGAATTCACAGCTAATAACATTGATTCAATTGGCATTGACATAATAGGAATATTTCGTCTATTAAGGAGGATTCCCCGAATACCTAAAATAGAAATAATCATAGAAAATGTGAAATATTTGATAGGATCCATTTCGGGAACGTGTAATCTAAGAGAAATTCAAATGTTATTAGATGACAAGCTCGACCGAACACCTGAAGTCCTTGAGATTTAGGTTAGGGAGACACGCGCGCATTCCTGACAACAGGCACGGGCGATATCCAGGCAAGCTTCCCCGCAAGCCTCACAACAGACACGTCCCACCTGTCCGACCGTAGGCCCCACTGCTGCGGCAAGGCGCGGCAGCCCTGACCCTGCGAAGAAGAGCTTCCCGTCGGTTCAGGCACCATTTTTTTGAATAGGTGGAACTTCGGTGATAGGTTGTTTTTGATCCCATGAGGGATCTAGCGATTTCCCCCGTCCCCCCCCAAGAGGAGATTGGTTAGGAACAGGATGGGCAACTTCAGCCGGTGCTGGCGCCTGCGTAAGCGGCTCTTGAGCCGCTAAAGAGAACCAATAGACACGACAGCTGGGCCAGCACCTGAAGTGGATTTACTAAATCCCCCTTATCTATTTCTGGGTAAATAAGTTGGTGACTAACAACAAAGACAAAAAAACTTGCTACCAAGAAGACGATGGATAAGAAAAAAAATTAGGGTCTTTTCTCCTTCTGGGTTGACTTGAGAAAAAAAAAAGAAAAAAAAAAAAGGAATAATTAACACCGACTAAGATCAAAGAAACTAGCAGACTAATCACTAAAAAGGCCTTTGGTTCAAATTGTGACATCTATCTTAACTTACTCAATTATCTCGTGAACTATCTGCTTCAAAAAGAGAGTTGGTTGAATGAGACTGAAACCTTCTTTCTTAGAGGAGGGCACCACTTCGACTGATGCGGGCGCGGTTCCCTCGTCGTGAAATAAGTAATGAAAGGGAAGACCCGCCCCCGGTCAACTTTCTTGTTGCCTGTATAGCTTTTTAGAACAGAGATCTAGCAACGCATTCTAGGCACAGATCATTGGTATTGGATGTATCGTTAGGTTGTGCCGAGTCAAATCTGCTCCGTTTTTTTTCCGTTGCAGAAAAGAGATCCCTTCCCTCCGCTTTCTAAAATGAGGAATATTAAGTCCGTGGGGCTGCAGGTACTATGGATCCTCTGACTCCCAATCGGGTTGCCTTCCCTGGTCTCGCCGGTCTTACCTGTAGGTCGTGATGTGCCTTGAGATGGCCGTCTCCTGTCCCCCTGCCGGTGGGGAATCTGCTCCCGGGTTGTCGCTCTGCTGCGTCTGGCCCGTCCTCTAGGCACCTTTGGAAGGCAGGGAGTGTGACAACGTACACGCTTTTCCCTTTACCCCATAGGGCCTTCTTTCTCATCAGTTGCAGGGTTTGGTGGCCCGAAAGAAACTTGGCTTCGCCAAAAGGCCTCATCTCTGGAAGCCCGGCTCGCGAGGCGTCCCTCTCGCTGTAGGGTTCCAAAACTCGCCTCGCTCTTGGGACATGCTATCTTTCCCCTCTTTATTCTCAAGTAAAGGGTGAGTCCCATGCGTCAGTTTGTGGATCGCGGTCTCACGCACTAATCCCTACAGGCGGGTGCCCGTAGTAGGCCGGCCGCCCTACCTAAACCAATCATCATATCGGTCCCTAAGCCCCATTGCTGGAAAGGCTCGGCTTCAAAACCGTACGTGGGGCTTCCGCCTCATACGGCTCCTCTAAGGATGGAGGTAGGCCCAGCCCAGGCTTGCGCGGTTAAGGTTGTTGTACACCTGCCAATCAAGTAAAAAAAAAAAGAAGAGAACGAAAGCTTTCGTTTTTTGGGGGTTGGTGATTCCGTGTATGGATGATCACCTTGAGCCACGAATTTAGTAACGTAAGGCGGGCCTGTTTCTCCCCTTGCGTTGCTAATTCCTCATAAAGCCCCTCCCTCCATACGTCCAGTTGATCATCCCGAACTGCATCCCGGGTTTGACAGAGGGAAATTTGTCGCTCCAGCTCGCGCACCTCCCGATCTATGCGCGCGGCTACTTCCCGACGACGGTCGGGATCCCTCTCGTTCTGGAGGTTCCGTTCCATTTCATGGATTCGCTCCAGATCCTCCCCCAATTGGAGATTCCGCGCTCGTAAAGAGTCGGAACTCTCTATTTCGTTGTACAACGACGAGAGGGAGGGCCGAGCATTAAGATCCATCGGGTTACCATTCCTATCAGTAGGTAGGCCCTGGTCCTGATAGGGGACAGATGGCCCAGCTTCCTGGGGAGGAAGCTGATTTACCGAGGGTTCACCCTCTTCCGTCTGGGACTCCCCTGCCGGGGGGGGAGTCCGAGAATGATTCCTCGAGAACTCGAAGTTCAAAGGAATCCTCCTCCCACATGGCGTCCCTCTCCGCCCCGTTAGGGCCCGTAGAAGGAAGTGCTCCCCCTCCTACTGCAGCCCATATAATGGGCTCCAACAGGGGCAAAGCCTGACCACCCAGTAGGTGGATGACTTTGATCCGTATCAAAGATATTACCACGGCGATGAAAAAGACCAAGAAGAGATTGAGAATCCCCCTCAGTGGTCCTTTCAAACGAAAGTAATCAATTTGAAATAAAAATAGGCATACCACCAGTGCGAAGAATGAAACCCACGTAGTGGTCAGAATAGCGCTTCCTTCTGATCCTAGAAAACGTCCGAAAAAACCTGCTACGGAACTACCGAGCAGGGGTAAAAATACGATAAGTAGATACATAATTTCGAGTGTGATCAGAAACCTAAAATCAGACAATGACAGAGCGGCCAGCGATTGAGTGATAGATTTCTCGACGTCCGGAGAACGCTCGACCGAAGAAATGAGTAACTAACAAGGAAGATTTTGTTCCCCAACTTGCTTGATTAACGGGCATTTTCGGGGACTAGCCCGCTTCCCATTACTCAAGAGGGCGATTGCCCGGTCCTCTTTCATGTGGAATCATTTTAGATCATATCCAAGCCTGTCTCCACTTTCTTATGTGAAAGAGGTGCTTGCTTTATGAGACTGAATGAAACCTTCTTTCTTCGATCAGAATACGAATAAGATCAAAAAGGCCATCATTGGGGCAAACAATGCAATAGCTTCGGTTAGAGCAAAGCCCAAAATGGCATAACCAAATGATTGTTTAGCCAATGATGGATTTCGCGCCACAGAATGGATCAAAGAACTGAAGACGTTTCCAATACCGATAGCAGCTCCCGCTGAAGCAATTGTAGCAGCTCCGGCACCTATTGATTTTGCACCTTCTAACATCTCGGGTTGATAATTCTCCTCACGCTTTGTCATTCACTGATCTTCTATCTTATTGATTCCTCGTCGATTCTTACCCTCGTTCCTTTAATCTTGGACATCTCACTTGGAATGCATTCTTTTCGATCTTGTACCCACGGAGTGGTAGACTGAAGACCAACTGAATCTCGACAAAGAGAAGTACAAGCAAGTAGATCATTCGACGTTAGAGGGACTGACTCGTAGCTAGGGTCCCATATCTCTTCGATTATTCAATTTGATCCGTCTTCGTCTTCTCTTATGAAATTGATAGTTTGTGAGATCGATTACTCCTAAATGCTGCCCTTCTCTTATATACGAGAGCTACTGCACGATTGGAGGATTAAGAAGGCCCAGTCTTTCGTAATGAAGTGCGGGACTTTTCCGCTATAATTCAAAGGCGTTCCTCGAGAAATGAAGAGCATAGTCCTGTAAGCGTAAAGCATAAGTAAAGAAAGAGAGCATGTACTTAGCACAAGTACTCAAGGATTAATGGCGTAGCTGAGCATACCGCGGCGGGTCTAATTGTATCAATAAGGAAGGGATCTTTGAATCCCGATGAGTTTTGATTAAAGTCTTTCAAGCTTTTCCTATTCTTTGGGTTAAAGAGTATCCTATCTTTGGAATTCATACTGATCCCGCGGTATGAGAAAGCAGCCCCTTGCACTTCCTTAGTCTAGTTCCGTGCTGTTCTCATTAAAAAGAAGAATCGCAGGAAGAGCGGTTAAGCTCCGTCAAAACCTTTTAAGGGTAGCACTGGCGCGAGGTCATTTCATTAGGTGAGGGTTCTCTTTCGTATAAAGGTTTAGCTCATCGATGAATCGGTCGAGCGGAAAAAAGAAAGAAAAGGGCCAGGGATTTGCCGACTGAGGCTCTTTTCAAGTTTGCCTACGTATCTGCCGCACTTGGCCAGGATCAAGTCAGCACTTTAGAATGAAGAAGACAATGCGCACATAGAATAGAAAGCTGCTGTTTGCAAGCTCTTTCTTTAGCATTATAACCCGCCCTTCCTGTTAAGGAGTGACGGAGCTCTCCTAAGCAAGAGCAAGGAAAGGTAAACTTGTTTTGAACAAAATTCCATAGAAGGTGCAGATGAATAAGCGGTATTGGAGGAGGGAACAGCCATAGTTGATGCATCGAATGCTAGTGCAATAAGACTTGATGAAGGCGGGATAACGGCACTTGCCTTCAAGCTTGAAACTTCTTGCCCCGAGGAACGCCTGAAAGCTTAGTGAGGAAAATCCTCGACAGAGAGGAAGTTTTTCTTTTAATGAGAGTGACCTTTCAAAGAGACTTTTTGCGATAAGGCCCTTCTTAAAGGGATGGCTCACTCTCCTTTAAAGGTGTCCCTGCTGCACTCTAAGGATGGCATATGATTCACTAGCGCAGGAGAGAGAGTTAGCCTTGGCTTTGGCATTTCCTCGCTCAATCTCATAAGAGAAGAAATCTCTATGCCTCCTTTTTCTTGGTTTTCTCCCATGCTTTTGTTGGTCAACAACCAACCACAACTTTCTATAGTTCTTCACTACTCCTAGAGGCTTGACGGAGTGAAGCTGTCCCCTGTCATTCAGTGAAAATCTAGTGAGTAAGGTAAGGGGGTACGGAAACGTCCTCTTATCACAGCTTGAACGGGATTCATTTAAGGGAAGAAGACGAAGTCGATTCAATCCAACTCCAACCGCTCCAACGTTATCATCCTGGAAAGATATTGAGTCAATCTAGCAGGGCTAAGGAAAGGCACAAGCCCCAGTCAGCTCCGTCGGAGGTAAATCTAGCAGGGGAAGGTCATATGACCCTTGGGTGAAGGTGGGTTCCGACCTGGAAGTCATTACCAACATTCAAACAAACAAATGCCAGAATTACAATTGGTTTTATGAATAATAGCCAGAGAGCAAGGAATTGGTTTGCCTTTCAAGGGTAGTATCCACTCTTGGTATCGATCTGATAAAACTTTCACTGGCAAAGGTGTGAATTAGGAAGGATTGGTCGCCGAAATATTAACTGGAGACTGAATCTTAATATACCTCAGAACAATATATTTTTGTTACCACGAGATATATTAGCAGCTGCCGATCATTTGATTGGGATGAAATTTGGAATGGGTACACTTGATGATATGAATCATTTGAAAAATAAACGTATTCGCTCTGTAGCGGATCTTTTACATACAAGACCAGCTCGGGTTGGCTCTGGCTCGTTTAGAAAATGTAGTTAAGGGAACTATAGGCGGAGCAATTAGGCATAAATTGATACCTACTCCTCAGAATTTGGTAACTTCAACTCCGTTAACAACTACTTATGAATCCTTTTTCGGATTACACCCATTATCTCAAGTTTTGGATCGAACTAATCCATTGACACAAATCGTTCATGGGAGAAAGTTGAGTTATTTGGGCCCTGGCGGATTAACAGGGCGAACTGCTAATTTTCGGATACGAGATATCCATCCTAGTCACTATGGGCTGCCCCATTGACACGTCTGAAGGAATCAATGTTGGACTTATTATTGGATCTTTATCAATTCATGCCAGGATTGGTGATTGGGGGTCGTTAGAAAGTCCGTTTTATGAACTCGTTGAGAAATCAAAAAAGGCGCGGATACGGATGCTTTTTTTATCACCAAGTCAAGATGAATATTATATGATAGCGGCAGGAAATTCTTTGGCTCTTAATCGGGGCATTCAAGAAGAACAGGCTGTACCNCTATAGCCGAACACGAGGGAAAAATCCTTTATACTGACACTGAGAAGGTAATTTTATCGGGGAATGAGAATACTGTAAGTATTCCATTAATTATGTATCAACGCTCAAACAAAAATACTTGTATGCATCAAAAACCTCAGGTTCGCCGGGGTAAATGCATTAAAAAGGGACAAATTTTAGCGGATGGTGCTGCTACAGTTGGTGGGGAACTCGCTTTTGGGAAAAATATATTAGTGGCTTATATGCCATGGGAAGGATACAATTTTGAAGATGCGGTACTCATTAGTGAGTGTCTAGTATATGGTGATATTTATACTTCTTTCGACATACGGAAATATGAAATTCAGACGCATGTGACAACCCAAGGTCCTGAAAGGATCACTAAGGAAATACCGCATCTAGAGGGCCGTTTACTCCGAAATTTAGACAAAAATGGAATTGTGATGCTAGGATCGTGGGTTGAAACGGGTGATATTTTAGTAGGTAAATTAACGCCTCAGGTGGCGAAAGAATCCTCGTATGCTCCGGAAGATAGATTATTACGGGCCATACTTGGCATTCAGGTATCGACTTCAAAAGAAACTTGTTTAAAATTGCNTAAAGTAGCCGGAAGACATGGAAATAAAGGTATCATTTCAAAAATTTTGCCTAGACAGGATATGCCTTATTTGCAAGACGGGAGACCCGTGGATATGGTCTTCAACCCATTAGGAGTACCCTCACGCATGAATGTAGGACAGATATTTGAATGCTCGCTTGGGTTAGCGGGAAGTCTGCTAGATAGACATTATCGAATAGCCCCTTTTGATGAGAGATATGAACAAGAGGCTTCGAGAAAACTAGTATTTTCTGAATTATATGAAGCCAGTAAGCAAACAGCCAATCCATGGGTATTTGAACCCGAGTATCCAGGAAAAAGCCGAATTTTTGATGGAAGAACAGGAGATCCTTTTGAACAGCCTGTGATAATAGGAAAGCCCTATATCTTGAAATTCATTCATCAGGTTGATGATAAAATACACGGACGTTCTAGTGGACATTATGCACTTGTTTTATACAACAACCCCTTAGAGGCCGTTCTAAGCATGCGTCCCAACGAATACCAACAAGTGGAGTTAATGCTATATCTCATCCTTTCCTTAGTAGGGTTTCTCCCTAAACAAAATACCGATTCAAGCCCCTTTACTAGGTTGGGCAAGCTTGGATGCCCTTACTCCCAACAAGTTGCTGGTCGGGATCGTGAAACTCTCGCTCGAAAAGTAAGCTGGTCCTTGTTTGGTCATAAGGATAATCGTTCTTATTAGGTCAGGGGCGGCCGGTCCGGGGGTTACCCGCGATTGGTAATGGCATAAGCAGAAGAGGGGTAGGGGGGACAAGGTTACGCGCTGGGTAGCGCAGCGCATCTGTTTCGGGACAGAGGCGACGAGGGCGAAGCAAGCCACCCAACCCAACAGGTCAGGGTCGGGCCGGCCATAGGTTCGAATCCTGCCACCTTTCTTGTGGATCATCCTGTGGTTACCGGATGATGGGAATAACAAAGCAGAAATCTTGAAATGAGCACGAAATGTCAATATATGAATTCTTTCATTATTCGTTATTTCCGGGTCTTTTCGTTGCATTCACTTACAACAAGAAACAACCACCAGCGTTTGGTGCAGCACCTGCATTTTGGTGCATTCTTCTTTCTTTCCTTGGTCTTTCGTTCTGTCATATTCCTAATAACTTATCCAATTACAACGTATTAACCGCTAATGCACCTTTCTTTTATCAAATCTCAGGAACATGGTCTAATCATGAGGGTAGTATTTTATTATGGTGTCGGATCCCAAATTTTTATGGATTTTTTCTTTGTTACCGGGGTCGACCCCAAAGCCATAATGTCTTAAAACAAGGAGGCCATAGGGAAAGTCTTTTTTTTTTTTTTTTCTCGAACTTCGTGAAGAACTCAATTTTATCTCTCCCTCGTTACGAACAAGAAAGTGGTTTGAAAAATCAGTTGTACACTCCCTTCGTTCTACGAACCCTTGTTGATTCTGAACTTCGTTTGCGAAGGAACCGGACTTTTGACGGACCAGCCCTTTTTTATGCGCCGCTTGATCCTGAAAGGAAAATGAGCTTTGCTCCTCTGGACGCTTGGCGCTCCCGTGGTTCGCGAGAAGGAAAAAGGACTCATCCTTTGTTGCATCTGGCACGAGATGATAAAGAGAGAGCTTCGTCTATCGATGAACAGCGAATTGACGGAGCTCTTGGCATTGCTTTGTTTTTCTCTCCTTTCCTATCAGCGAGTTCCGATCCTTTTGTTCGAAATTTCTTTGTTTGTACCGAACCGCTTGCAGAATCAAATCCTGTTCCACAAGATCCTATATCAGCTATACATCCTCCTTGCATTTATGCCGGGGACGTCGCCAGTGCGGAGGGCTTTGGCTTATGTAGATCAAAAATGATGAATGGGATTGTGGCACTCCACTCGCCGCCAATGCGGAAGGATGCCGCCGAAAAGAATGGAACGCTGCTTCGCTCTGCTGGATGCGTCGGATCCCGTATAACAAGCGAGCTTTTTACCCTCAAATTCAAACATGTGGGCGCAAAATGCTATCCTGCTCTATTGTTACGTAGCAATAGAAGCCCGCTCATGCTGCTTCGGCGGCGCTTTTTCGCCTTCTCTTCGTTCTGGACAGGAGCGAGAAGCCACTCGACTAAAAGGTACTGACGTAACTCGACTAAAAGGAGAGGAGCGCTAGTGGACACGGGGAGGGAAAGAAGACTGGAACCGTGCATCTTTGCTTAGCATGGTTCGACAAAAGAAAGAGGTGGAAAATGGACCGAGAAAATAATGCTTTGTGAACCCAATTGCTTTGACAAAAATATATGAAGAATCAGTGCTATTGAGGAACATTTTATAGAAAGAAAAGAAAAAGAAGCAATAGTAAAGGAGGGCTTTCCCAGTGCATGAAGGGAGGGTGAAGCAGGGTAAGTCATAAGAATCCGCTTTCTTACAAAGACCTCCTGCTATGCTAACGAGGGGTCTTAAGCAAACAAAGTACCAAGAACTTTGGATATTATCCGTTTTTCTATTATATCCCATTTTATCCTTCCGCTTTAGGATTAGCCCAGCTTTTTCGAAACGGACGGAAGGCCTAACTAGAAGCTATTTGGCGCCTTCCCCTCGATGAATACTTGGAAATGTGTCTTGCATCGTAAGCTGTCAGAAGAAAGTAAGACTTAGAAAGAAGACAGTAAGTAAGAGAACTACGATTTACTTGATTCCCAAAGTGGTACGTAGGCAGCCAAGGACTAATCCTTATCCAGTTCTTTGCTAGTAAGTGAGGAAAAGATATCAAACTTTTTTTTTGAAAAAAGTTCGTAGTTAATCTACCTCGGACGTACCCATGGCGTGTGGGGTTCGCGTGGGGAACCGAGTAACCAAAGTCACGATCAGTCTAAGGTTGAAATCTGGATGGTCTTTTTGCCAGACGCGCTGGTTCGAGTCCAGCTCGTGACAAAAGGCTACCCTTTCTCTTAAGAGAATCTCGATATCCTCAAAAATGAGAAATGGAAAGCAGCTTCACATCACAAGTGAGGAAGCCACCGGTGACCGGCTCAATGATCGTATACGCTCAATAGAATATGTACGCGCGGGCGAAAGAATTAATGCTGCTTATGCCCGCCCCCGAGGATCATCAAGCAGTTGTATCTATTTCCGAGGCGGTCAGTCCCATCCCGCTGAGGATGAAAAAAGGAAGTGCATGGATTGTTTCTTCGAAGTTGTAGGGAGGGAGTTCTCCCGCGTGAGCGAAGTTGGAGAACGAGTTCCCGGCTCCTGTTGCTCTGTTGCTTGTCCTGTCATTCTGTGCAAGGGCGTAAGCCCGTAAATAATTCCTTCTTCTGTTGTTTATATTGTCATGAAGGTATTAGTTAAGTGAGCGAAGCGGAGGAACCCCTGCTGATACATGGGCTGTGTTTGCTTGTGCGTGCATTCCTGCCATGATAGAATCCCTCTTCTTTGTTCTTATTGGGAATGGTTTGTCAGCAAGAAGTTAGGAGTTGGGGCATCTGCCTGATTCCTATGGCTAGCTGTGCTTTCCCGTTTAGCAAGTGAAGCTAGGGCCCGCCCACTCCTGCTGCTGGCTGTTTCGGTATAGAATAGCTCTTCCTACTGTTGTTTACTGGGAATGAGTTGCATGAGGAGTCCCGGTAAGAGAGCGAAGCGTTGCTCCTGAGGTGTGATGTGCATCTATCCCTGAAGTTGTGACTGGTGTATCCTTCTGATGTGTGGAGGGAACCATTGCTGCCCCCCCTCGCACTTGTAGCTGAAGTAGGCCCGCTAGTTCCGTAGGCGAAGTACTATTTGTTTGTGCGTTTATTGGAGGAAGTATCTAGAAGTCCCTAAGGTTTCTTCTAGTCTTCTCCTCCCTCCCGACCGTTGCGTTTGCCGTGTCTGCTTTCCTTTGTCTTTCCTTTCGCTAATCCCTCTAGGTCTGCTCATCAGACAACTATCTATTTCTTTGTGTCGTCTGGGAACATTGTTGGATGAGCAAGGAACGGAGTTGTGCGAGCCGAGTTCCTGTTGTGTTAAGCATGAGACTGTCCGAGGAACGGAGTGGTCTCTCCGAATGTTGAGCAAGTGCAGCTCTTCCCCTTCGTTCCTTTGCTGACCAACTAGCAAATACTCCGCAGGCTCACCAAACAATTGTTGTTTAATGGGAATTGTTGTTCATGAGCAAGCCAGGCGTTCCTCTCCTATTAGTCGAGTAATTGGCGTTCCTCGGGGTTGACGTCGTCGTTAAGGTTCAGAGTTGGAGTGATGTCATGAACTTCCATTCCCGGGGAAGAGGCTATAAGGCTATCTGGGGAATAAGATCGGTTGGCAACTAATAATTATCTTATCTTTCTTTCCCATCTCAACAGAATAAGCCGAAACCAGGGAAAAAAGGGCATACCAAGATCGGATCGCATAAAAGGATTGGAAATGCTGCTCCGAGCGAAGGTAGCCGGCTAATTAGAATAGGAATACTCGGACTCGGCGAAAAGGGTTAGGAGGAACCCCTTTTCTTCCGCTAGGTAAGTTGGGAAGTCCAACATAAGGCGGGTCAATTACATCGAACCTCAATTCCATCGAGCCTTGCTCGAGGAACGCCTATGGTTGATAGTGAACAGCAGATATGCTACATCAAGCACTCACTTTCTGTCTATTGGCCTTAGAACACTCCTTTTTATGTTGTTTTCAATGAAGGGGAAGTGATTCCTGAGTTCCTTCGCACAGGGTTTGAATTGAATTAAGTAAGTTTTGTCTACATCTTCTCTTCAATTACACCAGGAAAGAAAGCAGATACTGATGCTGAATGCACTTAACAAATCCCATGTCTGAATGCCTTAAACTTCGATTCAAAAGAAAGCAGAACTAGACTGCCAACGATCTGACGATAGAGAGTCTTCACCTTGTGGACCTGCTTTCGCCTAATGGTAATCTTTGTCTTTCCTTCTGTCTTTCGGGGATGTGATTGGGAAAAGAGCCATTGGAAGGTGACTAAAAGACCAGAAACAGGGGCTACCCGAGCTAATGATAGAGGCAAGAACACTTTCCGGCCAGGCCTGACTATAACCAACCTTACAGATCCCACTCAACCTTTTACACCGATGTATCGTACTCTCTCGACCAGGTCATCATAAGAAAATACTGCTAAATCTTTCCAAAGTTATAGAAGGAGGGAAGGCGCGCTACAACTAAATAACAGCCAGCTGAAAAATGCTAGCTAGTTAGGCTAGCGCGCAATGGCTTTCTCTGCTCTGATAGGGGCTTGCTTCTTCAAGCTCTGCCCAACCTATACAAGGTGCTGCTCGCTTTCTCTCAGCCACTAGTGGCTTATGTGGTGGTCGACATTCCTACGCGCTCCTCCTTGCCCCCCTACTTCAGAATCCAAAGGTCAACTTTGGATGTTGTCGTGACGCTTTGGTTACGAAGGTTACCGGGGTCTAGGTTTATGGATGGAGTCAGTCAGCGAAAGTCCTCAATCAATATCAACAAGATGTCGTGACCGCTTAGACTTGGTGGATTTTGTCAGAAAAGAAAGTTGGTTTCGGGGGTTCATTGATTAGTACACCTCTGGTGCTGGTAAGGTCGGAACCGTGGTCGTCCGTCTCCGGTTTGCCGGCCGATAAGATCTCTGAGATTGATCAGACAGCTGGGTTGGTTTGGCTATTCCTTTCTATTGAAAAGGAGTCAGCTGTCTGCGCGAGTCACCTTCTTTTAGGCTCCGCTGAACGACACGGCATTCTCGTTCAAATATAGGCCGGCCGTACTTGTGATGGTTCCCAAGGATCCAATATGACCACTTAGGTCTACGTTGCCGCGATATTTTTCTATGGAAGCGGGCGGGCTGTTGTTAGAAGTTCGGCCCGGTTTTTTTTGGTGTCGTAGGGGAGGGATTGACCTTTCTAACGCATATTCAGTCGTACCGGCATGGCCCCACTGATTTGTTTTCGATCGGAGCATCAAGCAGCGCAACCCGGTTCTACTTGACTAAGCCCCGTGCTCGTCCAAGGAGGGAGTTTGCTTTACCCAACTTCTTTTTTGATAACAAGGCAGAAACCTCCGACCCGACATTCAAAAGTTTCGAATGAAGAATGAAGAGTGCCCTGCCCCAGCAAGCACCTACTCAATTCTAAATAAAAAAGCGTGACTTTACTAAACAAGCAAGAAAAGCCCTTTCGCACTTCTTAGTAAAGCCTAAGCGCCCTTGTTGCTAAAGGTAAGGCCGGCTTTCTTCGCATGCTTGAGCGCATTACGCATTAATATAATACATATATATAAACCTTTCCTTGAGTTTTCAATAAGGGGCATCTATAGTAAGGGGCCTTTTCAATAAGACTCGCGCTAGGCGATCACGTTTTTTGTCTTCCCAAAAATCGAATATTTTTGAGTTGGTAAAGACCCACCCCTAGTTTCAGTCAGAATGAGTCCCCGGGACCCCGGGACATTGGCTTCCGCCAACAGTGGACTATTAAGGATCGCATCCCGCGCATATTCTACATTATAGCCTGCAACTGATTCAGCTTCCGCTTCTGGGAGATCAAACGGAGCTCGATTAGTTTCTGCTAGACGAGAAATAAGGAACATAACCAATACAGGGAACAGGGGAATACCAGACCATATCTGCTTTTGCGCCATGACAATCTCACTCGAATTACGGGGACCTACACATATTAGTACAGTATACCGGGGTGTCCCCGGCCAGAACCACACGTGCAAGTTTCCCTGCATGTGGCTCGTCCGTGCTTTCCGAGGCGCTGCCTGTGACTCAGCATGAGAGAAGGGGGCGGAACTGCACACTCTCGTGTTCAGAGCATTGTCCGAGTGAGTAGGCAGCGCCTACCAAGCAAAGCTTTCTTGAAGAGGCTGGGCTGCTTCCTTTTCGGCGCCCGCCTTTATTCATCTATATTAAAGCCACACACGACCCAATAGGAACGATTTCAGCGCCCCTCTCTAGATAAGAAGCAAAACGCGCCATCACCTACAGCCCTTTCCTCTGCCGGGGACTTCCATGAAATGAAAACGGGCGGCATCGTTGTATGCTCGACATTTGTTGCCCTGGTTTATATCCCGGAGTACTCCTATGGCCGATCTGTCACCCAACCTACTTAAACAACCTAAAGGAGGAACCAAGCTTCTTCAGCGAAGCTGGAGGAACCCCTGTCCCGCTTTTAGAATGACCCTTATGGCACAGCTTAGTCAGTTATTCTCGCAGTTCAGATAAGATTCGGACCGCCACTTCTCTGAAAGCATGGTGCTTGCCTCCTCCCTCCTTGGAGCTCGTCCATTCGTTGGGTGATCCCTTGCTCTCACGTTCGAGTGTTTTCTCGTCGTTTAGGCCGGTGAGTGAGATTTCTGCTCATTGCAGTCACCTCCGGGGTTCTTCGCACCTGGGATAGTACCAGGACCCTTGTGCCCCGGCTCTTGATCAGATAAAGCTGCCCGCCCGAAGCCCGACCTATGACCCACAACTAAAAAAAATGAGCCTTGCGACGAGACGCGGACATTACCCCATGCTGCGGTTCCCTCCGGTCCGTTCCCGGGTTGGGTTAGGGGAACATCCGAGCGATGATTGCCTTCGCGGATACAAACGCGCTCACAAGGCGCACAATAAGAATAAGACCAATAGAGACTTCATAAGAGACCATTTGAGCTGCAGATCGTAATGNAACTAAAAAAAATGAGCCTTGCGACGAGACGCGGACATTACCCCATGCTGCGGTTCCCTCCGGTCCGTTCCCGGGTTGGGTTAGGGGAACATCCGAGCGATGATTGCCTTCGCGGATACAAACGCGCTCACAAGGCGCACAATAAGAATAAGACCAATAGAGACTTCATAAGAGACCATTTGAGCTGCAGATCGTAATGCTCCTAGAAAGGCATATTTCGAATATAGAGGAGTTCAAGTTACCAACAATCAACGAGTTGATCATACCCTTCTATGAACCGTACGAGCACGTCCTCTCTCACACCCCACCGCGCTTACGGCTCTATACCCCAACCCTACTTGCTCTGGACCCCCCCGGTCCTCCCTTTCTATTCCTCGGTAAGCGGGCCGTGGGAGCATGGCGGGGGGCGCTATCCCCTTTTGACTGATAGAAAGCATCTCTCTTTTGTCTCTCCTGACCGAACCCGCCAAAAAAAAATCACAAAAAATCACAATAGAATAAGTTGTTCTTGCCGGGAGAGTAGCGTCTGAGACATCTTTATCTGAGGCGTTCCTCGGCTTCGTCGTCCGGCTCATCCTCGGAATCCGAAAATCAAACTGAGACAGAACGGATTGTTTCAGTGACATATCTAATCAGACTGAATAGGATTTGAAGAGCTGTCACCATCATTCAATTCACATCAATTTAAGCAGGCGTTCCTCGGCGCGGAAGTTACCGTTTATAGAATGCAAGCAAGGTAGCTTGCCTGCCAAGCCGATAGGCGAAACGGCGAACTGATCGACTTGCATGTGTTAAGCATATAGCTAGCGTTCCTTAGTCTCAATCACAGACCTTTTTCCATTTTAGGTGAACGAGGGTTACCGGCTCTACGACCTTGCAAGGCACTACAGTAGAGCTCGAGGAACGCCTGCCACTTTCTCAATCGAAAATGTCAACTGTGAAGATTCTCGCGTTTCTTTATGTAATTTCAGGATTTCTTTTCGTTGATCGGATCGAGCACATAGTAAGAAACCCTAAGTCAATTCATTCTCTTTGGCTGAAGTCAATCTTCATCAAGATGGCTTACCGGTAATCTCCCATTCCCGCCGTCGAGAGACTTTAATAACTATAGCATGCCAGAAAAGGGGAGTTTAGGTGCTTAGACCTATAGCCCGAAATCTTCTCTTATAAGCCGACATAACATATTCAACCACGGATTAAGTCGACATAACATCCTCACGTTCAGTCAGGGTTTTCCAATTGGATTACCTTGCCGGAATTGGATAGAAGTAGGGCTAGACGCGCCGGAGGAACCCCTTCTGCTCGAGCTCGCCTTAGGAAACTTTCCCCAAGGTTTCAAGATCCATCTTTCAGGTTCCTTTCAAGCTGTAAGGCTCGCTCTGTTCTCAAGGCTTGGTAGCTCTTCACAAAGTCCTCCTTTTTCCACGAGTTGAAACCGTGCCGACACATTTTCATATCGTCCCCCAGTAATAGAGTGGTAGGTTTCTTCCCTTTCTATTATGTATGACGCCTGAATCCTTCAGCTACATCTAAAGAATCCCAACCATTACACTAGAAGAAGATAGGCAACTACCTTGACCAACCAAAAAACAAATGAAGAAAGGAAGGGACGAAAGTGACTCGAGCAAAGCGAGAGGGATGAAATGAATAATGAATAAAGGGTTATCTTGGATTCCGATTTGGAAGCTTGAATAGTGATAGATAAGACAACTCAACTAGATTTCACGTCTTTTCTTGAGAGTGCCTTTCCATCGCAAGTAACTGAGCTATCTAGGGTTCAAAACCTGGGGGAAGTCACTTCAACAGAAGCCTTACCAAAGTAAAGAGATTGGGCTCCTATAGCTATAGTTGGAGCTTTTACGAACAGGTTTAGAGTAGGCAATTCCAGTTCAAGTTTCAGCTTGATAGCTATATCTTTCCTTTCTTAACTGGGTTTTTGAACTTCACATATAGCCCATCAGCTTGTGACTTCGCAATCTCAGTTTCGAGATTGGGAATCGACAGAACTGCCCTTTCTTAACTTAATTAAAAAGGGTAGCTTAGCTGGTTAGATTTACTGAAGGTAATTCAATCGCTGAACGTTGATAATAGCTTTCGAGAAGAGATCCTGACTCTCCAGCTAGTTCAAACTTCCCCGATTAGTAATGCTCTCACCCTGGGGACATATCTCACCTTTGTCAGCAAAACAGTAGAACCATCTTCATTTCTCAGTCTCACACTTCCTATTCCCTTCACTGTTGACATGGTGTCATTTGCCATCTTTACTTGTCCACTACCAGCATCTGATAAACTCACAAACCACATTCTCTTCTTCCGAAAGAACAACCTGTGTCAAGTATCCAGACTTCCCTTTGTTAGGAATCCCTAATTGAAAGTGAGAAGGGACCTACACTAGTATATAAAGCTTTCACCCTCTCCACTCATTGCGCCAATTGGTTTTGAGTTGGAAGCCCATGAACACTCACATGGTATCAAGAGCCATGGAGGGTTCTCTTGAGTCTTATCCTTTTCCTTCCAATATCAATATTACTAGTTGTGTCTCCATTAAACTCAACGATCGTAACTATCTTCTATACGACGAAGGAAGGGTGCGATTGAGTCCGCCGAACTTGGGCGAGAGATGTGACTTCGAGGAACGCCAGAGCTCTGGTGTCTACGAGAAGCTTCATGAGTCAAACAATTGAGGAAGCCGATACTTATACTTTGGTAGAGAATCTCGCACAAAGCAATGGGAGTAATGGCTCGGATTATGATCGGACTACAAGGAAAAACAATGATGAATCTCATCATGCCATCCAAGAGCTGAATGCAAAAATGGATAAGATATTGAAGCGTGACCAAAAGATGACGGTAAACTCTTGTGAAGAGTATGGTGGGTATCAAGGGTACCAAGACTTTGGTGTTGAAGGGTATGAGGAGCCACAAGAAGAGTTGAACTATGTTGGAGGTCAAGGATTCCAACCAAGACCTTTCAACCAAAACTATAGGAACCACCCGAGGAACGCCTTTCTAACCAAATGAAACTCTTGGAGAAGTAGAATCCATCTAAGTAGCCTCGGTTTCGCGTCCTTCTTTGCCAATAAGTATCTCAAAGCCGCGTGGTCCGTGTGCACTATTACTTTGGAGCCCACCAAGTAAGACCTAAACTTCTCAAAGGCGAAAACTACGGCGAGGAGCGTAAGCGCGGTGGTGGCATAGTTGACTTGCGCGTCGTCCAAGGTTCTACTAGCATAGTAGATGGCGCTCAACTTCCTGTCCTTCCTTTGCCCCAAAACGGCTCCAACCGCGTAGTCACTTGCATCGCACATGACCTCAAATGGTAAATTCCAATCCGGTGGTTGGACTATGGGCGCGGTCACTAGAGCCTCTTTAAGCATCAAGAATGCCTCACTCAAGGCATTTCTCATCAAACACAAAAGCCACATCTTTGCATAAGAGTTGTGTGAGTGGCCTAGCAATCTTCGAGAAATCCTTGAGAAATCTCCTATAGAACCCTAATGTCCTAAGAAGCTTCGAATACCCTTTACCGAGTTTGGTGGTTGCAAACTTGTCATCACCTCAATCTTCGCTTGGTCAACGAATTTANATCCTTGAGAAATCTCCTATAGAACCCTAATGTCCTAAGAAGCTTCGAATACCCTTTACCGAGTTTGGTGGTTGCAAACTTGTCATCACCTCAATCTTCGCTTGGTCAACGAATTTATTACTTGTTTTGAACAGTATTCTAAAGACACGTCTTACGAAAAGCAGATTTCATTTTTTTTAGGAAATTATTAAGTGGGATTCTGAAACGTATAATTACAGCTTGCACTTTTAACGGCGAACTCTCGCAATAAGCTCTACTTTTTTTCTTTCTAGTTTTGGTGTTCCGATATCTTTCGTAGGATGAGTTCGATCCATTAGGTTCTTCAATTTGTTTAGAAAAGAAACAAGAAACAAGAAAACATCTTTGATTACGATTAAAAGGAACAATCTCAAATAGACCAAGATCAAATTTCGGGTCATTTCTTGGTGAACATGATCTGCCATAATCTCTTCGAGGAACGCCTTCATTTATGTGCCAGAATAAAGAGAGATTTGGTAGGAAAGTGGAAGAGACTTTATTGTATATGATAATCAAAGGGAGTGGGAAAGCTGCAGTAATTCTTTGGAAAAGCCCGGTTCTCTTTGTCTTCGAGCTTTCATTTTTTGAATCCACTCTTTCGTTCCTTCATATACCTCCCCACCAATAGATAGAGACAAATAGGAATAACCAAACCACGTCTACAAAATGCCAGTACCATGCAGCTGCTTCAAAGCCAACGTGATGCTCCTTCGTCAGATGACCAAGATATTGCCGAATACCACATATAATCAAGAAAAGAGTACCTATAATCACATGAAAACCATGAAAGCCTGTTGCTAAGAAAAAGGTAGAACCATAAATACTATCCGAAATAGTGAAGGGTGCTTGATAATATTCCATTCCTTGAAAGCCAGTAAATACTAGAGCCAGTAAAACGGTAGCTACTAAAGCATAAACTGCTCGTTTTTCCTTCCCCGCGAGTATAGCATGATGAGCCCAAGTTACGGCAGCTCCGGATGAAGGGAGAATAGGGGTATTAAGAAAAGGGATTTCCCAAGGATCTAAAACCCCAATCCCTTTTGGGGGCCAAATACCTCCGATCTCTACCGCAGGTGCCAAAGAAGAATGAGAAGAAGCCCAAAAAAAAGCAAAAAAGAACATAACCTCCGATACGATGAACAGAATAGAACCATATCGAGGTCCTAATTGTACGACTTTGGTATGATGTCCTTCCAACGTGGATTCACGTAGAACATCGCGCCACCATACGAACATGGTATATAGGAGAAATATGAGGCCCAAACTTAGAAGTCTTGCACCCCCTTGAAATGGGTGCATGTACATCACACCTCCTACGGTGGTTGCCAAAGCTCCGAGTGAACCCGAAATAGGCCATGGACTTGGATCTACCAAATGATAAGAATGCCTCTGAGATTCAATCATAAACCACTTTGTCTCGGTTGTATGTAAACCCCCACCCCTTCACCCCCCAACGGGCTCTTTCTCTTTTGGGGGTCTAATTTTCTTTCTATCTGACAGGACAAACTAATAGGAAGGGATAGTTCTTTCATTGCATTGATAGAAGTCTAACTAGAAAAGGATCTCTCTATTACTTTGAGAAGAGAATCGTTGGTTTGACCGACGGAAAGCATGGGAGAAAGAAAGATGCACAAACAGACGAAAAGAAAGAAGAGAATGAGTCACAAGATAAAATGAAAATGAGTTCTCACTCTTATCATTTTCATAACACTGATTGACGATGGCCCGAATCCGAATCTCACCTCAGATGTTCATCTGGCCCTCGTTCTCATTCTTTGTGTTATCACGGGCCCGCTTTAAGAACTTCTTTTTATTTATAAAATCGGTAATCTCCCCATTGGGGTCGTTTTCCCTTCTGGTCTGGCCTTCTCATTGTTCCCAATTCGGTTTATTAGCTCTTCCACACATTACCGGTGGCGAAGGCACTCCCCTTATGGGCGGAAATTGCAGCCCCTCTTTCGCTTGGTCAATTAGGGAGCCAATCAGTTCGGCTAACTCCATTTTGATCTTTCTTACTTCTTCATATTTTTTTTTTAGATTAAACTATTCCTGTTGTTCTGGGCAGGTCGAGACGCGGTCGCTTCGAAGAGCTGGCACCGCTTCCATCGCCTCCGACGGAATGAGAACAGCCATCCATAAAAGACATGAAAAAAGAATATAATGGTACAACAATGAAAGCGGCTGCCCAAGTCAGGCTCAACTCCATAAGGGGGCGCTTCATCAACAAGAGAAGGATATTTAGAAAGGCTAGCATAATAAAAGAAAAAAATGAGCTTTCTTATTTATTTTCGCAGAAACATGAATTGGCTTTTACAGTATCTATAGAATGTAAGAATCATTTTATGCGAGGAATTCTTCGTTGGTGGTAAGTTAGCCGTGAATGGACTCTAACTCTAATGGCTGAGCTAGGTATAGATGCTTACCAACCTCAACATCCCGTGCAATTGAGATTTTTACGTTCCATATAGTTTGAGGAGACACAAGGTTCTAGAGGACCATATCAAAAGAAGAAATTCAGATAAAATCTATCATCGGCTTGGCTTGCTTCCTAGGGGTTTGGGGAAGTTTTGGAAGTTGTGAAGGTCCTCTAAGGTAACTCTAGGGCTCGGGGTCCAGGCCAAGCGGAGGTCAACAGAAGGTTAACTCGCTTCAGAAGGCTGGAGGTAACCTAAGATTCCTAAATGCAGGGGTCTCATGCATTCCAAGTAGCTGAAAAGTGGCAACTTGGATGTTTGAAAGACCCGTCGGGTTCGCTCGGAGACTAACTCACTCGTCTCGTTCATGTATTTACTCGCAGCATTCGCAGCAAACTCGCACGCAGGCAGGAGAGACCTTGAGTCCAGGCTCAGGAATCGACTGGTTCCGAGCGGACTCGGGCAGCTGCTGCTTGGATTATCGTAGAATAAGAGGAGCCGTCTTAGGAAAGGAAATGACTCAACTTCAAAAAAAAAGACAGATGCCGCCTACCTACTCGTACTCGTAGCTCGATCGGAGGTCAAGAGCCGTGGTCCGGCGGAAAAACGGAAGTCGTCCGTATCAAGTAATACGTGAATTGCTCAGTAGTGCTTCGCCACTACCGTAGCTGGCGGAAATAGCTTAATGGTAGAGCATAGCCTTGCCAAGGCTAAGGTTGAGGGTTCAAGTCCCTCCTTCCGCTCCTGGTGTTCGAACTAGTCATTAATGGTCGGCTTCATTGGTATCCTTTCGGTATGCCTTGCGAACATTTTCATTTTTAGCGCCTTCTCTTCTTTAGAGAAGCCAAACTCGAACGGATAGAGCAGATGGTCCAACTACATAACTTTTTCTTTTTTATTCTTTTTATGGTCGTGCCTTGTGGCACGGCAGCACCCGTACTATTGAAATGGTTCGTCAGTAGAGATGTTCCCACGGGTGCCCCTTTTTCCAATGGTACTATAATTCCTATTCCTATCTCTTCATTCCCTCTTTTGGTCTATCTACATTCCAGGAAAATCATACGCTCCATGGACGGAGCAAAAAGTGGAGTCTTGGTCAGAGCAAGTCGCCCTATTCTATTACCAGACATAATTGGGAGAAGCTCATCCGAAACTAGAGCTAGAAAGGCCTTATTTTTTTTCGTTCCCGTTCTTCATTTCCGTCTTCTCGAATCCAAGGGGGACTTCTCATATTTAGAATCTTTCTGCGGTGTGCTCTGTTTACTATTCTTTCGTACTTTCCTCTTTTTAGCACGCGATAGGTCAGCGAAGCGTGAGCGGGCGCGGAGAAGGAAAGGCCAAACACTTCGGCCGAACGGGAATGAGCAACGACGAAATGACAAGATGAGGTGCTCCGGGCACCCCCATTTAGATTTAGAAAGAAGGGTCGAAGGTTTTGGGCCTCTAGCTTTCCCCGTCCCCCCTGAGTTGGGTGGTGCTTGTGTGGGGGGCGTGCCACCAGAAATCGGGCTTGAAGCTCTCGCCTTACCAAGGAGCCGACAGCTGATGGCTATGGCTGTTGGTCACGACTACTACCAAAAGGTTCCAATGAAGATGAATATTTCACATGGAGGAGTGTGCATCTGTATGTTGGGTGTTCTTCTGTCGTGCGACCCGGCGGCTTATGTGCGACCTGTGGCCCACGCCTCCTATTTGTTCAGGGCGGGCGGCGTGAACTCTGATTCGATCCGGGTATTCAATCCCGCCGCTGAGATGCTCAGTTGACTCCTTAACCTTGATAGGAAGATGGCTTATTCAAAAATTCGTGCATAAGGGTAAGGAACTTTGGATGAACTAATGCGAATGGGTGTAAGCTTCGCTGCTCGGAAACACCCAGTGCTGACCACACTGAGAGACACGAAAGCGCGGGTAACGCTAGTTGGCGAAGTGGCGTTAAGCATCCCTAGCGGTACGAAAAGAGAGGTCGTGATGATATCATCTACGTCCGTACCGCTCCTCGTGGAGTAGATCCCGCATCCAACCAAGTCTTTGACCAGGGAACGGGATAATTCCCACTACCGCTGGCAGGCCAGCCGGGCCATGAGCGCGGTGGGAACGGGCTTCCCAAAAAGCCAGCCCCGGGCCGGGGTCAGCATAGAATGAAGGGGACGGCCCTAATGTTGTGTTGGCAAAGCCAACTTCTTAGGTTGCGGGCGGAGAAGAGCGGACGTGGGGACTCGGGTCGCGGGGTGCAGCGTAACTAAGAGAGCCATTCCATTTAGGGCGAGACAGAATGGGCGGGCACGAGCGGTCTGGTGTCCGAGTCAATTGGTCAGACGATGACTACTTCACTTATTAGATTAGTATTAGCCGCCTATCCCGGAATGAAATGAGATAAAATAGAAAGAACGCGAAGCGCTAGCGCTATAGGATTGGTTTTTTGCGGGGGATAAGCTCGCTTCTTCACAAGCTTACCCCCGCCCCGACCGGCAGCTGCTGGGTCTCCCCATCTCTCCTAAATTTCCCCCGGTCTTCGGCCCGAGCTGTATGAGGCAGAAACTCGTCCCACGTACGGTTCGGAGGCCGAGCCCCACCCCAGCAGTAATGGTGCGGCTTAGGTCAACTAACACAAAGAAGATACAGTTCACTCAACGATTGCCTTTGGGTTCCGAACTCCATATGGGGAAGGAGCGTTGTTGTTTGCGAGGTCTCGATCATTTACATGGACCCACTTCTCATTCCATTTGTGGGAATTTGATGATCTATAAACCGTCCCTAACGAACGATCGGCTCATGTTTGAGCATGATGAATCACTTCATGCCGACCTCTTGCTAATAAACTTTCCGGCCTCATATAAGAATGGAAAACTTGAGCATTTTCTGCATTGGTGGATGAAGAATCGCAAACATAATAATTTTTGGTTAACCATGTTCCCAGAAAAAAGATACTTTCGAGAAAAGACGAGCACGGCTGAAGTGGCTATACATACAAATCTATTTACGGATCTATATGCTTCGATTGGAACTGGAAGTTCCAGAACAGGAGGTTGGTATACCACCATAATGAAACTGCCTTTTATTTTTTTTATTCGGATAGGATTTATGTTGGCTTCGTTGGGAGGCTTGCCTAGTTTGTTACGTCAGCTCCAAAAGGATAAGTTGCGTTGGAATCGAGAAAGTTCCGTGGAGTTCATAATTGCATAAAAGGAGTCAAAGTAGTGGCTGCGGCGCGTCAAGGCACTTCTTCGGCGGTCTCCGTCTCGCCCGCCTGCCATCAGTAATAGGAAAGCTTTCAATCAATAGAAATCGTATTCGTGAATAAATCCCCTTTGTTTGAATCCAATATTATGCACTTTTTTTTGGTAGCAGGACTCTCTTCTGTCCGTTTGAACTCTTGAGCTGGAGCAGGAGAACGGAATAGGCATCCATTAGCGGAGGAACCCCTTCGCACGACATCTATGAAAGCAGCAGTGGGCGAACCGGCGGTGAACAGGAAGAGGGAGGACCGCCCGATCGCTAGGAAGAAGCAAGCCTATTCCCCGCGCGGATGTCATTGCTCACTAGCTCCTTTCGTCCCTTCCAACGCACCATCAACAAAAAGAAAGAAGAATTCTGAATAAAATGGACTACTAGAGCCGCGGGAGCGAGCCATAAGCGAGCCTTGTCGTAGTATTAGGAGCGATGGAGCTTTCCCAGTGAAAGAAATACGTAGCGAATAAGGGGAAGAATAGAAAAGCACTCTTCGGGGCTCACTATTGCCTCTATTACATAACCTTTCTCGAGGAACGCCTGGTCACTTAACCTATTAGCCTGGCTTAGGTCGAAAGGGCTTCCCTTTTTCCTGCTTGACCTTCGTAGCGCATCAAAGAGACTTCACTAAATCACTTTTTTCTTTCCAAGTAGTCAATTAGACTAGAGCCAACTATTTGATTCGGCTACACTTCTTGACTTCATGAATTTACAGATTGAAAATGAAAAAAGGCAATCATTTAGAGGGGGATTTGCAGGTCTTATTCACCACTTTCAACTGACTCCTTATCCAATCAACAGAAAGCTACTACAGAAGTCTCGGCTTACTATCTTAACCAGCAAGAAAAGGTGAATGGAAAATTGCCTCAGATATCTTTCTTTCAAAGCCGTGCTATCTAGCTCATCTTTATGCAGGAAAGGGATGCGCGTGACTAAGGCTATACGCTGCCCCAATTGCTTCTTCGCTCGTTCTCAAGAATTCGATCTTTTCACATCGCCAAGCTTCTACGGTACCAAAGAAGAAGGAAAACTTTCTGTTGATTCTCTGTTCACATTCTCTTTCAATTCCTCTGCATAATAGACACACATTCCCAGCAGACTATCTAGCTTCTTTGAACAATCTTCTTGCTGTCTCTGAACCTTCTTCTCAGAAAAAGAATGAGACCAAAGAGCCCATCCTTAGTTGTTTTGTTTTCTAAGTTCTGTTTCCTTTTATTAGTCTGAGTTCATCTTTTCCGCTTGAAAGCGTGTACACACACTGAAAAGGGAGAATAATATCCCTTTCATTAAATAGGTAGCTCACTGGAGCAAGCAACGAAGTGCCATAGGGTTCAGGATAAACTTATACTGAAGTAGGTACAATCTCTTTGTGGATCAATCTATAGAGTTCATAGAGAAGTAAAAACCTGAGATTAGAGTTGGAGAAAACCGCATAGAATACGAAAAGCAAAGGCGAAGGTAACTTTACATCTCAGTCGAAAGCGGTGAATCCGGATCCATTTCATAAGTGGACTGGGGAATCTCAATCTCAAAGGTCTTCGCTCGGTTCCATAGTTCAATCTAAAACCTGTGAGGCTGGAAACTTCTACAACAATATTACATATTCCCATCACCAGTAAACGATACAGTAAACCTTTAAATAGGTTCACTCTCGTCCATGCTCAAGGGGTTCCTCCAGCCGTCCTTCTGAAAGGTCCTCTTCTACGGCTCAAGGTTCAAGCTAAATAAATAAAGTTCCTTTTCTCACTTAAGCGGATACTCCAAGTCAAATCAATGCTTTAAGGAAAGACTTCCCAGCGCAGTCAAGCAAGATAGGATTCTCAACAGGATAAGTTCCATGGACAAGGCGAGCTAGCAGCGGTGCTTTCCTTCCGTGCCGTAGGTCAATGAAATGATCTTTTTCAGCACGAGAAGTCTCATTAACTAGTTGATGAGGAGAAGTCTCAAATGCTCTCATTTGAGGAGAAGGAGAGAGTTACAGGATCCGAAGGAGATGGAAGAACCTGGCCAAAGTAAGTGTTGTGTTCAACCGTTAGTAAGTAATATGGGTTGGCTGGTTGGAAGGACAGCTTCAGTATCTTACGGCCTGACATTACATATGCTGTGAATCGTTTAAGTCAATTTGTTGCTGCTCCTCGAGTTCCACATATGCAGGCTGCCACTCTAATTCTCCATTACCTCAAGAATTCTCCTGGACAAGGTCTGATGTATTATGCAGATTCAGAGATTCAACTTAAAAGCTTTGCAGACTCTGATTGGTTTGGATACCCTGATACCCAGACGATCGATCACCGGTTTTGCTGTGTTCTTGGGTCAAAATCTGATCTCCTGGAAGTAAAAAAGTAGTATGTATGAGTTGAAGTGAAGGGCGAGGTTCAAACGAGGAAAGGCTTACGGTGGATACCAAGGCACCCAGAGACGAGGAAGAGCGTAGTAAGCGACGAAAATGCTTCGGGGAGTTGAAAATAAGCGTAGATCCGGAGATTCCGGAATAGGTTAACCTTTGAACTGCTGCTGAATCCATGGGCAGGCAAGAGACAACCTGGCGAACTGAAACATCTTACTAGCCAGAGGAAAAGAAAGCAAAGGTTGAATCTAGTTCTCGGAGTTGCGTCTGCTCTATCATATCTGCATTCAGAATGTGAGAGAGAAAGAATTCATAGGGACGTTAGTTAAGACTTGAAATATAATGCTTGATGCAGAATTCAATGCCAAGCTAGGAGATTTAGGCAGAAGTCTATGAACATAGTTCTATAACCAGGGAAGCTACAATACCAGCTGGGAAAATGGGAGATCTTGCTCCTTAATATGTTTATTATGGTGTTCCATCACAGAAATGTTTACAGCTTCGGTCTAGTGGTGCTAGAGGTAGCTACAGGGAAAAGGCCTGTCGGATGATGCTGGTACGGTGCTTGTTGATTGGTATGGAGCTACTGGGAGAAAGGGAAACTGATTGAGGCAGTTGATCCAAAGTTGAAAGGGACGTTTAGTTTCATTTAATGCAGTGGAGATGCAGAGAATGCTTATGGTGGGACTTTACTGTGTTCACACAAATCATATAATGAGAAGAGGCGTTCCTCGAGGCGTTCCTCGAGAGGGAACCTCTTCTTAGGCTTGCTCCCATATTCTCCATGGTTGTGGGGGTTGCTTCTTTATTCTTTCTTGGGTGGTCTTTCTCAACGTTATTCGTCATGGCTGATTCTAACTCAAATAAATCCGCCTCCAACACTTCATCTGATCAGGTCAGTATGCAGATTACCTCTGTAAAGTTGAATGGTCATAACTACTTGTTATGGGCACAAGCCATTAAAGTAGCTCTCGGAGCTAGAAAATCAAATGGAAGTTTCTCTTGAAAGATCCTCCTTCCATATCTGATAGGCATTGTGCAAAGGAAGATTTTTTATGTCTGGTTCTATCTGTCTGTGCTTGGTCTGGACCCTTAGTTCTTGCAGGTGTAAGCGTGCTCCCCATGTAGTTTTCTTCGTTCCCGTGTATCAGGTGCGAGTGTAACGAGTTTGTTTGAAATAAGTCCAATGAGATGATACGAAAACAAAGAGTGAAAAGCTGGCTTAGAAGAAAGTATAGTGGGGCATGGTTTAGAAGGTAGGTTACCTGCTCGTAAGAGGCAGTCTAACTTAGTTAGAGGAAAAGCTTGCTCATCAGAAGGATAAGCAAGGTTTGATGAATTCTCCTAGAAGGAAGATCAAAAGTCAAGGTCTTCAATAGTAGTATAGTAGGGAACATATCACAACCAGCAAGCGTATTCACGTCAACATTTTAGCAATCGAAGTCGGAGTGAGCCGATTCAATGTCTACAGGGCGTCTGTGTAACACATATCAAAGCGTCTGTTGCCAAGCCTAATATCTGATATCTGTGTTAGGAGGAACGGAGTTGGCTTCTCCCGTTGGTCAAGCGCCTTGCCCCTAACAGCTGATTCACTAGCTAGTCCTCCAACTACTCTTACTGGAACAGAAAAGACTAGCACTGGATACGTGAACATTTCTAAGAGCTGGTACGTGAACTGCGGGTACGCTTAGAGCTTCTCTTCCCCCAGGACTGGATACTCTCACGCCGCTTACTCAAGCACTAGCAGCTTATTTGTCGACTTCTCTTCTTTGCTTTCTTACACTCTGATTTGCAGCGAATCAAGCGTCTCTCCAGTGAGTTTTCTTTCCCGCTTTCTTTCTCTGTATTATAGAATAGAAATAAATTCCTCCCTTACAGGAAGTTTGTTCGATAGGACAAGTACACCCGAAGGGAGAGGGTTCTACGCTACTTTTACGATCTTTCCTTTCAGTCGAGTAACTAAAGTCCTGTAAGGGGAAACCTATTCCCAAGCTAACCAAACCAGGGAAGCTAGCTCATGGGATTGGTTGGCTAACAACAGGCGTTCCTCGGAGTGAATAGATGGGGGGATAAAAGAGAGGATCAGGGAGTCATCGGATCGGAGGGTTTCCCACCAAGGAATTCATTTCACGATTCGTATGTCGATCACTGTCTTCGATGATAAAGGGCCATGTGATAAGCTAAGAACCAGGAGCTGCGCCCTTGCTATTGAATCTGCTCTCACTGTTCTCGAAGAAGTTGCTATTGAATCAATCAGCTGTGAACGAGTCGGATGTTGCAAGAAGAAGGGCTTTGGTTCTATCTGTAGAAAAAAAGAACCTATTCACCAACAACCTCTGATGAGAATATAAGAAGTTGCAAAGATCGCTTGCTACATTAGATAGGATACAAAAGATAGGATAGAAAGCAATTCCATTACAAAATCCGGTGCTAGAAAGATAGGTTGAACTCGGCAAGGCAAGAACACAACACTTTTGATTTTCTCACAAGAAGAAGCTGCTAAGATAGGTTGTTCAAGGTGAACCAAAGATAGAAGGTTAGCGGCATTGCACACTAGCCCAAACTGATTGAGATAGAACCTCTTCTTCAAGAAGATAGGTGGAATCAAAGAATTCCGACAACGAATCTCCCGAGGACTCAAGACCGATCCTTTTTCGGCGGATCTGTCCTTGCCTCTTTCGTAGTAGATAGAGCCATGTAAGTTGGTTGTTCTCAAGACAGAAGTCTATTCCGGTTTGGTTTGGAAGGAATGAAAAAGAAAGTGGTTGTAGCTCACTTCAAACAGTAGGGTTGGATCGGAGGAAGAGAGGTCTGACAGAGAAGAGGTCTCCAGAGCCTGGGCATAGGTGATATGTAATAGTTTACACCAAGCCAGGTTTATTGCAACTGAAGTGAAGCAGTTAAGTACCTGGGAGTTGGAACTGTTAGAGTTATACCCGCTTGATATTATTGGGAAAAGCAGAATCAAATGTATCTATTAATTAGGCCTGTCAAGCTAACCAGAATACTAAATATAGTACCAGACCAGTGGGAACATCAGCACCCTTAACTTAAGAGAAACTGAAGCAGCTTAGAGTTCCAATCATAGTTCTCCATTTGACGTGACGCGAATAATAAGCGTGTAATCATTGTCAAAAGCTAATACCTGTTGTGGGATATGCCCTGTAGGCAGGAGTAGGAAGGTCAGCTAGGAAATCAACAGATAACAACAACAACGGAGGGAATGGGTTCCTCCGGCATCTAGGTAGAACCTTCCAGAAAACCGGGAAAGTAGGGCATCATATAGTAAAGCAGGACTAAAGAAAGGATCTTTGACTGTCCTAGAGAGCTGAAATCGATCGTACATTTCACCAACTTCCATTTCAATAGCTGCCAGAGAGAAGTAAAGTGAGAATATAGGTATTGCATTGGTCTGGGAAAGCCCTTCCTAGGGACCGGGGAAGCTTCATGGCATTTATCCTACTCTGTTGCCGGGGAGGATAGCTCCTTCATTGACGAAAGGTGCTTCAGTGACCAATGTTGGTGCCATTTCTTCTCTTGGAGGAATGGTAGTTTTGTAGTGTGCTTTTAAACTCCAAAGCTCACACGGTGTGCCTTCCCATATATGCTGTCTTCACAGAAATAAAGAGATGACACCTTCTTACCATCAATGTACCCTTTTTTCACCAGCAGTTCTAGCCCTTTTTGACTCATGTGGCCTAACCTGCTGTGCCACAGTGAAGTTTCATCCTTCTTGTCCTCAGTTATGAGAGCTTCTGTCTCAACAACTTTGCCTTGTAGGAAGTATAGACTGTCGTACTGTTTTCCTCTTAGAACAACTCTGCAACCCTTTAGCACTTTCAAGATTCAATTTTCACCTCTATATGCACAACCCTGTGAATCCAGTGTTCCTAGTGAGATAAGGTTTCTCTTTTAATCTGGTACATACCTCACTTGTGTCAGAATCACCACTGTTCCATCCTCATTTAGGATCTTTATACTTCCTATTCCTTTCACTGATGATGTTGTGTCATTTCCCATCTTGATTATCCCTGTGATCTCTTCATTCAATTCATCAAACCACTCTTTCTTGGGTGTCATGTGGTAAGAACAACCTGTGTCCATGATCCACTCTTGTTCAACCAGATCAGTAATATTCAAGGCTTCAGCTGCATATAGGACATCCACACGCTTGACCTCTGTTCCTTTTACCATAGCAGACTCTCCTCTTACTGTGTTCTGGTCTTTTGTCTTATCATGATAAGCCTTTCTACTGGGACAATTCTTCTTAAAATGTCCTTCTTCCCCGCATGAACAGCATCCCTTCTTTCCCTTTGACTTTGATCTATTTCTGTTCTTGTTTTTGTTTGAACCTTGATCTCGGCATATGAGATTGATTTCATCGAAGTTGAGTAAGAGTCACTCCGTACCTCGGCGAGCTACACACAAATCTTTCTTTTCATTTTATATAGATGCAAAAGTTAGCAATCCAATTTTCCTTCGTAAGAGCACATCAGAAATCCAAAACTTTCTCTTTATATAGCGAGGATTTGATGAAACCCTATTTTAGCTCTACGGAGCACATCAGGAATCCAAAACTTTCTCTTTATATAGATGGAAAAGTAAGAAAAAAGGAAAAAAGAGAAGAGTTTGAAACAAAACTAAGGGAAGTAGCTACGATCGCTCGCAGGCCGTTGCTCGCTCCCTCCAAGTGTTGAACAGAGATAGCTACGATAGAACACAGCTAACAACCCATGAGAGAATAATATGTATATAAGAAGAAGGCTGCTTAGAGGAGTGATCTGTTCATCTAACTCAAAATATTGTAAGAAGAAGAAGAATCTTACGCCCAAAATTCCCATCTCTTTTTTCTTGGTTGGACCAACCGGCACCAGTCATTTCCGTCTTCCTTAATTGGGAGAGTCAGAATCAGTCTCTCTTTGTTTGGGGGGGAGCGGAGCAGTCAATGAAGGAACCTTTGCTTTGAAAATGATTGTTCTAAAATGGTTATTCCTCACAATTTCTCCTTGTGATGCAGCGGAACCATGGCAATTAGGATCTCAAGACGCAGCTACACCTATAATGCAAGGAATAATAGACTTACATCACGATATCTTTTTCTTCCTCATTCTGATTTTGGTTTTCGTATTATGGATCTTGGTTCGCGCTTTATGGCATTTCCACTATAAAGAAAATGCAATCCCGCAAAGGATTGTTCATGGAACTACTATCGAGATTCTTCGGACCATCTTTCCTAGTCTCATCTCGATGTTCATTGCTATACCATCATTTGCTCTCTTATACTCAATGGACGAGGTAGTAGTAGATCCAGCCATTACTATCAAAGCTATTGGACATCAATGGTATTGGACTTATGAGTATTCTGACTATAACAGTTCCGATGAGCAGTCACTCACTTTTGACAGTTATATGATTCCAGAAGAAGATCTAGAATTGGGTCAATCACGTTTATTAGAAGTGGACAATAGAGTGGTTGTACCAGCCAAAACTCATCTACGTATTATTGTAACATCTGCTGATGTACCTCATAGTTGGGCTGTACCTTCCTCAGGTGTCAAATGTGATGCTGTACCTGGTCGTTTAAATCAAATCTCTATTTTGGTACAACGAGAAGGAGTTTACTATGGTCAGTGCAGTGAGATTTGTGGAACTAATCATGCCTTTACGCGTGCGCCCGGAAACATAGGCCGACTGTTGAGCCCACTCTGGCTCAGCCGCACCACCCGGGGGTGCGAGCCACCCGAGAAGCAAGCTATTACAGCGAGCGGCTGGAGCTGTAGGGAGCCGAGGAGCAAGGCAGTAGATAAGATAGAAGAAGGGGCCAGGCACCCGGTGGAGCAGAGGGGACGGTTAGGATAACGAACTTGAAACGCGGAGCCCGAGCGGCTGGCGAGCGAGTGGTTAGTGGCCAATAGCGCCCTAGTTGATGGCATTCCTCTCTGCGGCTGGCACTCGAGGAACCACAGGGCACTCCATACAGAGCAAGCAAGTCTTAGGGATGAGACGCCCGCGCAAGGACCTCAATTCTCATTAGGAGGTCGAACCAAGGACCTATGGAAGTCGGGGCTACCCCGTCCCCATGGGCAACGCAATAGTGTCCTGAGGGAGGAGTTTAGAGGCCTTATAGTAGCATGGACTTCTTTATCTTTCTAGGTCATGCGAAGGGGGCCAGTCCAAGATCGTACTGTTCCTCTACAAAGATAATAGACGCTCTCAACGGCTAGGCGCCACTCTCTTTCTGAGTTATTCCAGCTTCTTCATGATTTCGTGCCGCGGTGAACAAACAAAAAAAGAGGGCCGTCTCAGCGGAAGGAGAAGGACCTGCAACGGCAGAGACTACTGACCCTCTTCTTGTTCTTAGCCGTCTATTACGAGTCCGGGAAGCCTGGAATCATAAATATGAGGGATCCAGAAGGGTGGGCAGGGCGTTAGCAAGGTTTTTTTATCCCCTCTTCCCGGTCAAGATAGATGGGAAAGGAGTCCTATCAAGTAAAGGCCATAACCAGCCTCTTTTTTTATGTACACCTTTCTTTGTTTCAGGCTCTTCAAGACCTTCCTCCTGCTAATCCGGCCATTTCCGAACCTGTCTTTCCCACCCTTCTCAATTCTTGCGATTCCTAGCCAGCCCCCTTAGCTTATTTTGCTTTATAAAACCACTTTTCCCTTTTTTCAGCTTGCTGCTCGCTTTCTCGCTTCCGAGAGGTGCTTTAGCAACTCGACTGAAAGGAGAGGGCCGAAGGCGCCTGACTTACGGTTTCAAAGCCTGGCGCGAAGCGAAGGGATTGGATTTCACCTATGATCAGATTAGTGGGCAACCATTGTTGACTTTTTTCGTGGTGTTGTTGACGTTGTTGAAAGCTAATTTCGAAGTAGGCCTTGCTTTTCTCCGCTGGGAGCAGCTCACACTATGGTGGAGGAGGTGCCGTGAAGATCTAGGAGTGTGAGCAGTACGAGCTGAAAGGCTCCCATACTGTTTGGAGGGCAGGGGGCATAGATGCCAAAGAAAGCTGACCCCTATCTATCGTCGTAGAAGCTGTTCCTAGGAAAGATTATGGTTCTCGGGTATCCAATCAATTAATCCCCCAAACCGGGGAAGCTTAAGCGGAAATTGAAGAGTAAGGTGAGGGAGGGGGAAGAGCTATCAAACTTTAGAGGCTTAACTCGCTCGCTCTAACGCTCGTTTAGTAGACAGCTCGTCAGTCAAGTACGTAACGAGCCTTGTCTACGAAGCTCCGCTCCCTCGTCTTGCTTGCTTCTGGCGAAGCTTCTAGCACTAGAAAAAATAGGCTTGTATGGCAGGAATACCACTTTTGAGGCCGATCACTACATAGGAGCGATAGCGAAGCCAAGCCGTATAAAGGCGAGCAGCCCTTCTAGCAATAGCAAACGGCCTACTTATAGCCTTTTCCCCTTTATTCGGGGACTTCAACGGGTCTTCCAAGCTCATAAACTGTAAATTCTTCACGTTTTCTTCAGACAGTGGGAATGAATTCTATTACTTGATTGACATTGACAGATATGTGTATCACACCGAACAAGCAATATGCCGATATGCTTGATGTACCAGCCAAGCCAGCTCGACCGTATACAGTATAAGGGATTCACCTTTGCCTCAGACAGAAGAAGAACAGAAGTACTACCGGGAAAGGAAGCCTGACATGGGTAGATATTTATTTGAACAAAGGAACTCAAACCGGTACCAGAAAGCAAAGAAGAGATGGAATTCCTGATTGAACATATGACCGACCTACAAGAAGACGAAAATCAAATTCCTAATTCCATTCTCTGAACTAAAGGGATGTCTCTAAGCAGCCAAGGCCAAGAGCAAGCAGGAGTGGTCCTATCCGCCCATTCATTTTTAAGTGACTTATAAGACGTGAGAGATACTCTAAAGTCATAACGGGGAAGGCCAGAGACTTCGTTCAAATGGGGGGAGGTTTTCTCTTCAATAAAATGAAAGGCAGGTATTTTTATACGAAAATTGAGAATTCAATAATAAATGTTCACTTGAGATTAGGTTCGCGAAGAAGAAGATCACAAATGAGATCTTGAGCTTGAAGCTTACTCTCCAGAATCGAAAGATCTCTTATCCCCGAGGCGAGGATGGCTTCATAAACCTTTTTTTTTTCCGAAGGAAAGATAGATAAGGGGTTTCATCCATATTTTTCTCCCATTTACGTATCACGTTCAGAGATTTTCATTCGTTGTCCGCTCTTTCCGTTTTTTTTTTCGTACAAAACAAAAGTAATTAGAAAAAAATAATCTCAAAAAAAGGTCTGACTCTTAGAGGTCTCGATTTTTATTTTATACATGGCGGTCGGTAACGTTGGTGAATTAGGTAAAGGTACGGAAAGAGAGGGATTCGAACCCCCGGTAAACAAAAGCCTACATAGCAGTTCCAATGCTACGCCTTAAACCACTCGGCCATCTCTCCTACATTATGACCCAGAAACCTCGAGTGAATAGCGAGTCATTTATATTCTTGCAGTAAAGGTAGTTCTATATTTTTTTTCTTTCTTTATCAGAGGGGGCCCCTTAGGCCTTGGGGGGCGGGGCCTCTTTTTTGATTTTTTAATCAAAAAGGGGGAGAGGGACCCTTTTTGATTTTTTAAGTACAGCCCTACCCTATAGTGGAGTTATCTTTTCCCTATCTAAGCTATATCAACATAGCAAACTAGAAAACTTATCCGCTTGTCAATTCTTGGTGTAATATGTAAATGATTGGTGTCAAAATTTTTCACTGATCAGGTGTGATCAGTCTCATCCGTGTAAGAATTAGGAATTCCTCTTCCAACTCGTCCCAGAATGGGCGTTATGGCAAAGAACAAGAAGAAAACCAAAGGAGAAATTTGTCCAATAGTAACAAATGGTGCTTCCACAGGTTGACATCCGATCCAACCTAGTAGTAAGCAATCCGCCAAAAGCAACCAAAACATTCCTTGGTGAATCGGTCGAAAACTTGAACTACGCACATACATACTTTTAAAAAAAGGTAAAGCCAAGAGACATATAAAAACTGGTGCTATTGCGGCTACACCTCCCGCTTTGTCAGGTATACTACGAAGAATGGCATAGATCGGTAGGAAATACCATTCCGGCACAATATGAGGCGGGGTGGACATCGGATTAGCAGGTATATAATTGTCGGGATGCCCCAAAACATTAGGAGCATAAAAAATCCAAATAGAAAAAAAGATAGCAAAAGCTACCCAACCAACTAGATCCTTGACATAAAAATAAGGGTAAAAAGCTATTTTATCCATCTCAGAATGTACACCCAATGGATTATTTGATCCATATTGATGCAATGCGGCCAGATGAAGAAGACTGGCGCCTACTAAAATAAAGGGGAGTAAATGATGAAGACTAAAAAAACGATTTAAGGTGGCATTGTCCACGGAGAAACCACCCCAAAGCCAAGTCACTATGGTATCTCCTACTACAGGTATGGCGCTAGCTAAGCTTGTAATTACTGTAGCTCCCCAAAAGCTCATCTGACCCCAAGGTAGTACATATCCTATAAAAGCTGTCACAATCATTAATAGGAAGATTACAACTCCAAGACACCAAACAAATTCCCTAGGACTGCTATAACTCGCATGATATAGACCACGAAAAATATGAAGGTAAACCACAATAAGAAACATACTTGCCCCATTAGCATGCATATAACGGAGCAACCAGCCCCCTTCAACATCTCTCATAATGTGTTCTACGCTGTTGAAAGCTAAATCCACATGAGGTGTGTAATGCATAGCTAAAAAAACGCCAGTCACTATCTGAATGACTAAACAAATACCAGCTAACGGACCGAACCCCCACCAATAACTAAGATTGCTCGGGGTTGGATAATCTACTAAATGCTGATTAAGTGTGGAGGATATAGGTTGTTTAAGAAGAGAGAATCGTTGGTTCCTTATAGTCATTTCTCTTTCCTATCGTGACAACTCTTGTTCACCCACTTTTTTTTGCGTTCTAGGGCCCTAAAATATCCTAAAATATATATATTGATATTTGAGCCTTTCTTTGACTTTTGAAAGCATTCCTCGGGGGCGAATTAAGCGTCGACGTTTTTAGAATTCTTTCTCCTACACACCTTTGCCCTCTTTCACCGAAGAGGAAAGAAGAATCTTTCAAGCGGGCAGAGACCTAAATTTCTTAGATTCATTCCTAAGCTTGCTTTGTCGCAGCAAGATGGATTGGATGATCAGTCCGAGAGTGCTGTAGAGAAGAGAAAGCGGTCAAAACTTCTCTGATTCGGTCACCGAGCAGTCGGACAACCCTTCAGTAACCCAGGATGACCCCGAGGTCCACCAAGCGGGACAGCGGAGTGCGATCCTTAAGCAATTGGAGGTTCTCGCTCATCTCTTGGGATCCATATCATCTGAATACTTTTTTCCTGTTACATTAGCATAGCTAAATTTGAATGGGATGACTCAGCGTCAGGAAAAGTAAGCCCCCCTTTGCCTTGATTTAATTTGGCTTCGCTGCGCTCTGAATCAATCAATAAGCTTATTGATTGGATTCATCCTATTTCATTTGGGCGAGAGGTCCGAAGGAACAAAGAAGCTCGACTGTAAGGAGAGGTGCTTTAGCAACTCGACTGAAAAGGCGTTCCTCGAGAGTGAAACGAGAGGGAGGCTGGGCTTATCCATGGGACTTGCCTTGGCGGTTAGACTTTATTTTAACACATCCTCGAATTCGTCTCGTCGGTTGGTTGATTCTCGAAATAACCTCTTGAGAAAAAAAAGGTCCATCAGGTTTTGCCCTGCCATCTCCGGCGAGGCCCCATATCCGTGAGACTGGATCACTGTAATTCACGGAAGTCCATTTGGACCTCTCCTTTTAGTCGAGTCACTCCGTGCCTCTCGGGAGTAGGGCTTTGTTCTGGGGGGGCCGACTTGCGCTGCTTTATAAGGGAGAGAATTTCATAAAGTAACTCTCTCTATCTATCCTTAGAAGTAGGGCGATAGAAAGTCAATATGAGATTTGCGTTGGTTTTTCCAACGAAACAAAGCATTATCATTCGGAAGGCTCAGTCCCAACTCGGACTTCCATAATGGGTTCATCCCTCCGCACTACGGCGCTCCAATGAACAAGAGTTCTCCGCCTTAGTATATTTAGAAGAGTAGTCGGGAGTTACATTCGTAACTTAATGTTATGTTCACGCATTATATCTTTCTTTCCAAGAGTACTACCTGTACGTAGTCTATGTCTGGGGAGCATACTTGACAGGAAATAGACACAAGCGGTAGAGAGGTCCCCCACTTCGATTCCCGCCCCGTTCGCATCTCCGATCCAAGATAAGGGATTACTCTGTTAGGTCTTTTCGGTCCGGAGCCGGCTGGTAATGGACTTACTTACCTTGCTTGTGGACCAGCTGCGGAGCTAACCTTTCTTTGTTCTATTGGTTTGGTGGTTGCTACCAAGACGATTTCTTTATGCCCATCAAAGAACCTCGAGATGCTAATCCACGAAAAACGATACGATAAATTCGAAAGAACTCAGATACAGAACGAGGGCGACCCGTGGAAATACATCGGTTTCTTACTCGTGCAAAGGAACTATTTCTTGGCAACTTGGACAACTTATAACGATGTTTGTCCCGCATATCACTAGGAAGATCGGGATCTTTACAAAAGGCTTTATAAAGCTTTCGTCTCAATTCAAATTTAGCCGCGAGCAATCTACGTTTGTGATCTCTACTATTTTGCTTCTCCGACATCTTACTGAGTTTCCCCCTCATCTTTTTGCAAAAAGCCGCTCCACGGTGGTAAAGTCTCATCTTGTGTGTTGGCCGAAGTGACAATAGTCACATTGAACCCTCTAATATGTTCGAAGATCTCGAAATGATCTTCCAGTTCCGGGGAGAATTCGCAAAACTCCGTTTCCATCGAGAATTGAATGGAGTTTTTCCGTATTTCGACCGGAAAATCTAACAGAGACATTACTGTCGAGATTCTGACCGAAAAATTAGACATTCCATGCCCTCGGAGAGTGCTTTGTCGTGCTAGGTCACTTACATATCCTTTGTCTTTATTTGACCCCAAGAATGGATTAGATCGAAAGGACTTTCCTGTCGAACCCCTTTGTGTCTGTATGAATTTCTGACCGCGCGGAATCTCCATAGCCAATTTTCCATTTTTTATTATGAAATTATAGGGTGCCTTTGGTACTACTCTTATTTCACACGATCCAGGAACTTCCATAACGTTGGCGTGATTCGGTTTGAGCAACGGATCTTGACGTGATACATCTTCGTAATGAAAATTGAGTGGAAACATGAGTTGGCTTTTACAGTATCTATAGAATAAGCTGACTCCTCCTACTCCTCCTTTCCGAAAAGATCATCCTTGGTCCTTTTGACATAAGATTCTCGGCCCGCTTTCTCCCCCTTAACCAATTACGTTACGACCACTGAACAAACTTGGTTGACGAACATGGTTTATGAGCCGCTAATGTAGCGGCTTGTCGAGCATTTGCCAAACTCACACCATCCATTTCAAATGGGATTTGTCCCGTGGACACACGAGCAATCCAACCCGTAGGATTTCCTTTTCCTCTTCCCATTCTTACTTCTGTAGGTTTCCCGGTAATAGGGAGATCCGCGAAAACTCTTACCCATATCTTACCATTTCTTCGGAATTGTCCGCTCATAGCACGATGGAAGTGTCCGATTATAGCCCGACGCGCTGCTTCAATGGCTCGATATGAAAGACGACCAGCTTTACAACTTTTAGTGCCATATCTTCCAAAACCCAGTTTTGTACCATCCGGTTTGCAACCCCTACTACATCTGCCTTTACGATATTTACTATATTTCGTACGTTTCGGATATAGCACGTCCCCCTTTTTTTTGACTATATGAAATCCACACTTTGACACCTGAGATTCCGTAACGAGTAGATACTTCCGCAGGAGCATAATCGATTTTCTGGTTAAATACATTACGAGAAGTTTTTCTATGCTTATAGCATTTAGTTTGAGCTTTTTCTGCTGCGTCTTTTAATCGACCGGAAAAACATATACGGATTCCCTCCACCCTTTTTGGAATCTCCTTCACTATTTTAGCAAAAATGGAATGAAATGATCTTCTTTTGTTCTTCAGTTGAAAAGAGATGTCTTGAGCAATCAGAGAAGCGCTTTGATAAACAGATTTTATTTTGACTGACTCAATTAAGGTCTTAGTGTTTGTTCTATTAGACAAGAAAGATCGCATTTTTTTTACTTCGTAAAAATAAGAGTTGTACCTATACGGAATTCCTCTCTTTCTCAGTATGATTTCTATCATCATATCTATTACCTTTATCAATTCTTCTATCCCACCTAGGTTTTTGAATTTCTCTATCAATTCCATTACCTTATCCTTACCCAAAAGGTTCCAACATTTGACCCTTAATTGATTGAGTAGTTGTTCCCGGGCATCAAGGTTATTATACACCCCAACCCCATCTCTTAGAAAGAAAAAGGTAGCACCGAAGAATGGAAAGAGCGAGATAGTGGTTTTAGTTGTTCCCGCGAAGCGAAGATCATTCGCCAAGCGAATGAAGTGGGTCAACCTATTTTTGGCTTCGGCCAAACACTTTTTCTCGCTGGTCGAGCTTTCTACAAAAAAAGCGATACGAGAACGTATTCTTTTCTGTAAGCTTCTTCCCTGTGCATTCGCTCTCCCCATCGTAGATGGTTCAGCCGCGCCCGGTGCCACGAAATGATTGAGAACTACGACGGGGTCGAAATTCATTTGGTTCTTTGTATTAAAAAAGTATTGCATGACCAAAAAATTCAAGGAGGGGCGCACTGCAGGGAGGGTCCGTAGATAACTCGTCGGGCCGTCGGAGCGGGACTTCTTTGGGAAAAAGAACTTGAATAACTTCGTTTTTCTGAAGGAGTCGTCATTTTCTATCAGGAACGCTATGTCATTTACAACCCCGGCGTATTTCGGATGCTTGAAGGCCCCGCTGATCCGAAGTGATTTAGAAAGATTCTTCTTTATCGATGGTGATCGGTCATGGTATCCATAGCGTTGTTTTTTTTTCGGCCACCCCCGGATTTCGTTTTGCTTCTTTCGGTCGTCGAGCCTGATCGACTCGACTCTTTTCCTTGCCCCCCGGCCTCTCACTTCGTTTCGTTCTTCTTCTGTATCGTCGCGAAGACACCCGATCGGCCCGGCTTTCCCGAATGTCGTCCACCACCGGCCCTTCTCCTTTCCGGGTCTAGTTTTTTCACGTCGTTTCAGTCGTCGTGGTCGACGGGGAAGAAAGAAATGAATGAATGTTCTTTTAGGAAAATGTAGAAGAATACACCTACCGAGACGAAAGCCAAAGGTGAGTCTCGTAGGTGGACGTATCGAACCGAAATAAGATCTCAGATTGACATCTTGATACACAAATTTACCATAATAATAAATAGAGTCAATAGTGACCCCACCGTAGAAAGAGCCGCTTCTTTTTTGCTTGATAGGGGGGCTTCCATTCACCAACAAAGACTAAAAGTGCTCTCCGAACCGTGCTGGATAGTCACCCATCACACGGCTCTCAAACCCAACCTGTGGTGGATCCCGGGAGACAAAGTCAAAGCGCTTGATCCTTTGCCCCATACTTTGAGATGCTCCTCCCCGCGCAGCGACGCTGCTCGTGAGAGGCTTAGCTTTAAGCTGCTATTGTTCGGTTCGGATAAGTCAAGTCCCTTTGATCGGTTCGCTCAGGTGGTCTTATCTTCCCTAACGTTCAGAGTCGTTTTGGTTTGAGAAAGGAGCACCGGCCGAGCGCCCTGAATGAATAAGAAATGGACAGGAGAGAGAATCAATGATTCTTATTCAACCGAGTTGAAGCTAGCAACATGTTGATTACACACCGGAGGTTAGTAAGAACTGAGGGGTTCTTCCTCCTAACCTAAGTAGGCTACCCGCGCTGCGAAGCAACTGGTACTTGATTGGGGCGGGGGGGGCGGTTTGGTTTCGTGCAAGGCCCTCGCAACAGGAAGAGGCAGTTGTCATTTGAAAGGAAAAGCCCTTTGTTGTGTATAGGGTTCTAAACCAGCGCACCCTAATTAACAAACAAGCCCTTTCGCACTTCTTAGTTAAGCCTAAACTTATTAAAAACGAAAGTGCTAACGCGTCTTTATAATATTCAAAAACCTTTCGCCTTTATTGATATAAAACAAGCTTACTTACCGGCAACAAGCACCTTTTTTTCTCAAAGTCAAGTTTCTCGCTTGTTTCTTTAGAAAGATTGCAGTCTTCGCGAAACAACTTATCCTTTTCTACGAATCTTCCCTTTATTGAGCAAAACTCTATCTATATTTCTTCCCGGGATATTTTTTATAATTTCAATTCTATCATTTGTTTGACAGCTTAAACTAGGCTTCATTTTAGATAGGTTTTCGGTCTTAATCAAAATCGGTCAGGGGTGCGTCGGAACGGTCGGTGGCCGCTTAGTCTCATCCGAGAGTCTAATATCTTTGTACTGCTTTTTTTCTTTGAAAAAAAAGAAGGAAGGGGTCGATTTATAGGCTCCTTCCCTTCCACTGCATAGCTGCGCTAACAGGTACTACGAGCCCTCTGTCCCACACATCTAACCAGCTCGCGTGGTTCACCGGTTCCACCGAAAACTCTCATTTGTTAAAACGGAGCATAGTGCGCTTTAGGCGCCGAGCGAGAAACCTCTCTTCTTTCGTTTCGGTTTATTCACTATCTGAAACTTAGCACTTGTTTGATTTTTATTATTGGGCGGCGGCGTTCTTTTTTGAAGTCTATCCGAACCGAATTAGCACTTCTCAGATCAGACTAGGCCTCCCCCGCAGAGCTGGGCGCCGGGGGCCTGGATGCGCTAGCGATCGGCGCATAGGGGGGGGTTGGGTTGCCTGAGTTTCTCGGCCTGGTATCCTACACCTCGCGTTAATGATATCTACATTCAACTGTGCCCCGGAGACACGGTCGAAGCACGCCCATCCAGTGTGCTTCTTTCACGACATGCTCTGGTTCCGGGTGTTTTCCAGTGGTCTTCTAGCGTTAGAAGAAGTCGTGTCCGTCCCGGACATCTGCAACGTCCTCCCACGCTTTTTTTTAAAATATAGGATAAACTGAAGGAAAAGACTTACCCATTCGGTGACTTTCGCGGTCGCCCTCACTGAACCGACTTGAATCTGAACTACGATTTTTTCCAAGTCTTACCGAAATCGGATTTCCTTTTCGTGCCATATTTTTTTACTTTATGGATTTCTGTCCCTTTTTTCTTCCCGGTCCAATATTTGTTCTCGAAAGTCTGAGTTTCCGTGTACTCTCCAAATTTATGACCAACCTTCCCCTCAGTGATCTTAGAACGCTACTACGCATCTTTACTATATAGTGGTAAGGTAGGTTTGGGTATAGCAGGACTTGAACCTGCGACCATTAGGTTAAAAGCCCAATGCTCTACCAACTGAGCTATACACCCAAATAAAGATGTAGTAGTCAATTAAGATTGGTGCGGAAAAGAGAAGAGGTCTCAACGAGCCTTCAGCATCTGAAACGGGAGCTTTAACCTGCATATCATACGGGAGTCTTAGTGGAGAGCGTTCTCTGGTTCTCATCCCTAGTAAAATTTGAAGTGACGGAGGAACCCCTATTCGATAAAGAAGGGAACGGTGCAAATAAAGCTATTTCGAGTCCTCTATCAACAACCAACCAAACCACCCGCTTGTCGGGCTTAAAGCGGAACTGAGCTTCTCACTAACAAAATCAATCGTAAGCTTCATGTCCGAGACTCGGAAAGAGTGGCGTTAAAGAGGGCGTCAGAGCCTCTCGAAGTCTCCGATCTCACAGATGGTTAGGCTGCAATTCCTTCGCTTGTGAAGAAGCTTGGCTAGTTCTCCTTACTCGGACATTCTATTCATTCGACCACTGCCCCCTCCTTACGAATGGTTACGGGACTAGAGCGAGTCTCTTTTTATTTGCAAGAATAGGTCTGAGCCTGATGACATTCCTGCTTTCCTTGCCATGTCCAACTAAAGTGAAAGTGAATCAACTGCAAGGAGGAATCGACCTTTTTCTACTATTCATTTGCGCCGGAAACCCCTTCATCATTTGCCCTGAACTGGTGAAAGGAATAGGAGGACTTTTCCCTCGGTGGAAGTAGGGATTTAAGCACAGTTGTGATTCCGCTTTCATGTCTTGGATTGAGCTTTCTCACTCCGAGAAACGCCTCTTCCTTGTCGGCGTCCTTTGTTCGCTACTGCTTTAAAGAATGGGATGAGGCTACTTGATCGTCGAGTCGACTTCCATCAATCAATTGGATTGGATCTTATTATCCATGGTCATAAATCTGATTCTTCACCCAGTGGGAACACAGTCTTCATGGTGGTACCAGTGCGTATATATGTAGATGGGGCCTTCGGCTCCCACCCTCGATTTTCCATCCAATCTTCCTATCTTCTTTTCCCTGCTTTGGAAGCATTCGATCTTTGCTTCGCCCTCGTCAGAGAAAGGGGGCGAGAAGCCTGCGTGCGATTCCTGGGTTGGATATCCCTGGCTCTCTTCTCTCTGAGTCCCCGCTAGCTTTCAAGCGTTCCATTCAATCTCTCTCCCAACGCAAGGAAACCGATCGATGCACTTGGCTTTAGGTTTCGATCGATAATAATTTTTATTATATATAAAACGCTTCTCGCTGGAGACTCGGGTAGGGCGCTTGCTCTCCTCTTGGCAGCCTTCTTCAAGTAGGCTTCTTTCTTCGCTAACGCTTAGGAATTCCTAGAGACTGAGAAACTAAGTTGAATTCTATTTCTAGCTTTTTTTTTTATAGCTATATATTTCGTAACTGATGAGAGATTAATTGATCGATACATCAGATCCTAGGTCGGGAATGACGGGGCTCGAACCCGCAGCTTCCGCCTTGACAGGGCGGTGCTCTGACCGATTGAACTACAATCCCGGCTATACTGAACACTAACATGATATACTGAACACTAACATACTCGAGCACTCGTTGCGAGAGGAACCCCAGTTACTCGACTGAAAAGGAGAGGTTGTGAACACAAACTCGACTGAAAGGCGTTCATCGGCTTTCACCCTTCCATTGCACTTTCATGAGTCAACCATCACTCATACGAAATTGAGATTGCCGAGTCAACCTTCTTCTCATACGAAATTGAGATTGCCGAGTCAACCTTCTTCTTTCAGGCTTTGAATGGTCTCCTGATGGAAAAGAAAAGGTCTTGTTGGTTTCAATTGTTTATTGAAGTAATCCTTGCATTCAGCTGCTGATTGATTCCAGTCAGTGCTTCAGATTGTCTTGGGGCACTGTCAATATACTGACTTACAGGTAAAGTCTCCGTTTCCCTATCTAACTCCTCTTGGAATCTCTTGTTTTCAACAAGGAAAATTCCATTTTCTGCTTGAAGCAGTGGCTAACTCATACAAGACTTCTGCCCGAACGTACTTTTCGTTTTCAAATCCAAGAAGGGACAAGAATGGAATGATTTTCCTTTTGTCAATATCTCGTCTGATACTGGTCCTATCGGCCTCTTTGAGATTAAAATCGCCTTGACTTCTGCCAATAAGAAAAGCAAATCAAAGCTATGGTTGAGAGTTCCAAGTTCTTTCCAGATTAGATTCTAGCTAGGATTTGTTGGCTCAATCAGTCGTAGAATTCCTTCTCCCCCCGGCATCTACTCCTAAGATCTCTGACCTGATCGATGTCTCAGGAATTAGTCCCGGATCATATTCCAGTGCGTCCACAGAAGAGGAAATCGCAATGCATCTTGCTCAGCAGGCTTAGCTTGGAGTGGGACAGGGGTTCCTCACTCCGTGCCTCTCACATTGGGAACTTCGCTCACTTCCTAAAACACTGGAGACTGAGGCGCATTCGCAACAATACATCTATGACTAGAGAATTAGGTATAGGAAGAATAGATCTAGCAATACAATCACCAAACTATTAACACTTCCAATACCCATACCATTAACTCAAAGGTTGTCACCACGGAGCATAACTGCAACTAAAACTATTACCAGAAAGACAACTATACTGGCATGCCACCTATACGGGCACGCGTACTCTTTCCAAAGCTAAAAGCACCTCCTACACTTGAGAACTACTACGCATTGGAAACGAAGCAGATAGTCACCATTACCATAAGACCAGCGACCAACTAATGGTTCTTTTCTTACTTAAGACTCAGAAAAAGAAGAAGCCAACCCAGATCCTTATTCGCGGTAGCAGCTACTTCTTCTGCTTCTTCGGTTGTTGCCGCCTAATTAGCTACGATCAATGAAAATCTCTACAGAGAAGAAAGCTGGTCCCACTAATTTACCTAAGCAGGTCTCCTTAAGTTAAGTAAGTGCATGTCCTTTCTTTTGAAGGTTGAGGAACCTACCGATGAAGATTCTCTCTACCATACTGGGCAATATAGATGAACAAGCCATGCCCACCCCGCCTCAGATCAGCAGGAGTCAGACACTGCATGGCTCATCCATCAGGTAAAGAAAGGCCAACAATAGAATACATGTTATTTATGGCTGTTTGTTGCAGGAAGAGTTTCATCAAGAGAACAAGGCAATAAGGTATCTGCAGAAATAGGAGTAGTAGCAGTAGTCGCGGGTGTCGAAAGAATAAGGGAATCAATGCTGTCAATCGGAACAACTGGTTGGGCTACTCCTTGTTTGAGGAGTTAGTTTCTTGATTCTTTATCTCCGGTATCTGCTCTAGAAAGAGTTTCAGTGCAAACTCTTCTCATACTATCAAGCCGGAATAACTCGACTGTAAGGAGAGGTTTAAATAACTCGTGGAACCTTCTACTCTCCTTTATCAGTATCATTTCGTTGGACCTCTTCTTTTTAAGAGATAGGGGCTACATTTTCTATTCCCGCCGCTTTCTTTTGTTGTATCGCTAAATAAGCAGGCTTCCGTCAAGCGAGGTCAGCCAAAGGGAAAGA